AATATATCAATCGTACTGACTTATCTATTAGGCCAAGGACAGTAGCAGTATCTCTTCTTCTGAATCTGCATCTGGAGCTTCAAAGTTGTTGAAAGGAAGACCCGGTCGCTTATTCTCTTCTATAGGAAGAAAAACGTCAATGAGATCTTATAACAGCAATAAGCCATCTTCCGTCAAGTCTTTGGAAAAGGTATGTTTACTTAATTAAGACTTCGGTTTGTAGACATCTAATCCAATTTAGATCGACAACGGAAACGAGGCACAATCGCATGAGAAAGTGCTGGATGATTTATGCCGTATTTTGCCTCATATTGACAGAGCCTTACTCTCACCATATGTTTATGAGGCAAATAACGATTACATGATGGCGTTGCAATTATGTAAATCTGCGGTTATTTCAGGAAAGCTTTCATAAGGTTATTGCAATGATAGTGTATAACACCTATAACTTTTTTTAAGAACATTCTCTTCCAGATATTAAACCATAGTCGATATTGTTTGTATTTCTATTTTTTATTCATAATTTTTTTTTTTTGATGTTTGAAATGAGTTTGAATTTAGTATAATGGTGGAGGTGATGGTGTATATAATTAGTTTGTAGTTTCTCGATTTTGGGTTCCCTTTTTATAATCTATCGTCTGATCAAGTTAAGAAATTCTTCTCTAGTTCTTGGGCTACTTCTAAATACACCCAACATGCAACTTGTAATGGTGGAACTACCAGGTTTCTATAAACAAAACAAAAGTCAGTTTTATCCCGTCCGAAAAAAAAAAAGTATTCTTGTGTTACCTGTACACCTCTGTAATAATAAATAAAAAAACAAGGGTGGGAATTATTTAGTTGCCAAGTTTCACACAATAATTTTATCAGAATTGACACTTTACCTAGAACACATGCACAAATGCGAACATTCCATAACTACAGCAACACCTTGAGGTTGAAGTATGTCCATTAATGCAGTTGCAATTTGTTTTGTCATACGTTCCTGAACTTGAAGTCTATTGAAAGCCGTTAACCCTTGTTTAAATTCTGAATATTGTATGTTTACTTACCGTCTTGCAAACATTTCAGCGATACGAGCAAGCTTACTAAGTCCCACCACCCGGCGATTAGGGATATAAGCAATACTGATCTTACCCATAAAAGGAACCATGTGATGCTCGCACAGTGAGAAAATATCAACATCTTTGACAAGGACCATCTCGTCATGATCTGATAAAATGTACGTTAATCTCTAGTTCACCGTCCGAAACACTAAATATCTTTTAATTTACCTTCTTCAAATACAGCATCATTCACAACCTCTGAATAGAAAAAAGAAGAGTTACTAGCTGTTACTCTGCGTTACTTTTTACCATTACATACCTTGAATATTTCTTTCATATCCCTGAGTGAAGAACATCAATGCTTTTGCATAACGATCAGGAGTTTTTAACAATCCTTCTCTCTCAGGATCTTCACCAATACATTCTAAAATTGTTTTGACGGCGCCTGCTAATTTAGCTTCCCTTTCAGCTCTTTTCTCGGGAGTCTCATCACGACGTTCACGAGCCCCCAAGCCTTTTTGAAGAAAGCAGAAAAATTAATACATATATCATATCATACTTGGTGTAACACTTACTGGGCCAACTCATGCCATTGTTTTGTGTAGGTGATTCTACGCGAGGAGTTTCTTCTTGTGACATTGATTATTGTATGGAAAGGAGGGGGGAATAGAAATAGAAACAGACGATCTTTTTTCTTTTCTTTTTTTTTGATGTAAAAATCAGAAAGATGCGTGACTGTCGAATCGATCAAAATTGAGTTTTATTGGATAATCAACATTGGAATTTCGCACGGATTGTGCAATTTTTCTTGAAAATCCAGATGGCATCAAAGATTCGGTATGACACATCAATTTTAAACTTTTTTTTTATGAAATCTATTTGGTTACTAGCATATAATTCCCTCTTTCTACATAAAAATGTAAAAAAATTGGGTGTCATCTTTAGTTTTGCGGACCTACTCATATATGGGTCGTTCCTGGGAAGACCCAATAACGTCAAGGTAACCATGCTCTTGGTTGTACTGAGCGAAAATTCATGCTCCATCACAAACGTGCGGAGTTCTATTTTATTGTAACAAAACCAGATTGAGATGGGGGATACTTGTCATTAAAGCCAAACAAAGCCATTTATGCAAGATTGTGGATCAGGAAAGGATACATGCATTTTGATAAGAGTCAACCAACACGGACAAATGCAATGTACTTTGGTTAAAATTGAACTTTGTAAATCATACTGATAGAAAATAAAATCCACTGCATGCAATTCCGATAAGTATGCCCAAACGTAGTTGATACCCATATGTCATATTTATATTTATCTATATTTTTCTTTTAGACTCTATAACAGACTTTACAATAAGTAGTAGTCATGAGGCAATGATCTACGGCGATTATCTGTTTAGAGAAAATAGATCCCGCTTGAGGTTTCCTGTGTACAACATCTTAATGCCGATAAGAACATAAACATATACGATCATCACTGTTTAAGGTGCACATAGTACATCCTTATTACTGAATCACGCTGCTGTCAAACTTATTTGAGTTCGTATGCTTTGATAGGGGTTAAAATATTACTAATTGATGCCTAAGTATGTTCAAGGCTACCAAATATCTGTATATTGTATTAATGTCAAGTTTAAAGCTTCGTATATGTCATTTAAGAAGTACACAAGTCTGTGTTCGCAAAATAAAAAAAAATGAGACAATGACAGGATAAGTGGAGATTGTAGAATATTATCACCTGTATTCATATATGCAAGTAGAGGGGGATAAAAAAAAGTAATACTCTAAAAACAGTTCCGTACATCCAGACAAATGACATAATCCCAGCCCTTTTTTTTTTTGCCCCTTACAAATAATGATATAAATGGTATAATTCATTCCTTGATTTTTCTTTTGCCTTTCTTTTTATTATTTTAAAAAAAAAGGGAAAAAATCAATATGAAATTACTACAGTTGCCCTTTGAATTACAATTATTGATCTTGAATCATATTAAAAAGGATAACCATCTAGATTTAGCACCATTAGCACAGTAAGGATAACAATCTGTTCATATTTTTTTAAAAGATACTAAAATAAAAGGGAATGCTTAGCACATGTATGTATTATTTTACGATGGTAGCCGATAGATTCAATTGGACCAATACCGTAACTATTTTGCAACCATCGATGGTACATTCTTCATCGCTAAATTATTTGATGAATGCAAGATCCATAACACTAATCACTAAAAGACTTCAAGCAGTTAGTGATATCAGTACTTTTCCATTAATTCTAAACATTCTTGAGAAACAGCAGTCAAGCAATAACTTGCAAGATATTCAAATGTTAGTTCCTACTAAGGCTCATCACAAGATATATCAAACGTTGACAAATTTCCCGCAAACTAAGCTAAAACAGCTTACAGTTCGTGACCCAACAGATGGTGGATACATCATGTCTCCGATAAAGTATCACCTGCTACTATCACAATTTATAACAACTACTCTATCCAAATCCCAATCAACACTTGACCAACTCGACCTATCATCATTCCCCTCAAACATTCTAGTATCACAATACAATAATTATCAGTTTCCATTGGTCAAATCATTAAAAATCGCACTTGTGGGATGTCAAGATCAACATCATTTTCATCATTACTGGAGACAATTTAAATCAACGTTTCCTAACCTCCAAGATCTCACCCTCACAGTAACCAAACAACATGTATCCTTATTTAAATTTTTGTTGCAAGACATTTCATTATTTCCTTGGATTAAAAGATTATCTGTATCTAGTAGAGAAACACCAAAGGAATATCTGTCTCGAGAGGAATTAAGATCCAGTATGTCTGGATTGAACGGATTATACAGAATCACAGCAGGTTGGGATATGATTGATTTGAGCTAATACATTACAAAACATAATGTAAAAGATAAAAAAAAAGTACCGTATAGCCTCTCCCTTCCCTTCTTACAACTATTATGCCCTCTCCTTACTCATCTCCTAATATATCATCACGCTTTGTCGAAAAAATCCTGTTCTTTAAACGGCATCACATGCAGTTATCTTCATTTTCAAATAATAAAAGATATAATTTATTTTGCCGAATGTTGTTTTTAGGAATCTAAGATCTTCCTTCATAAAATTTATCCAAGAAAGTTGTTGGTTTGGGTGGTGCTTCATCTTTAGCAAAGTAGTTCATAATGTGGTTGTTTTGTTTCCAGACGTTCATGACTTCTTGGTATTCCATTTGACCCTTAGCGAACAAAATGTCACGAACTTCGAGCTTTTCAACATTGCGATGTCTTTCGAATTCTTCACGGATCTTTGCACGAATGGCTGAACTAGGCAAGTTGATTTCATGAAGCTTCATCATTTCAGGGACCTACAAGTGATAATCAATTAATTTTTTTTTTTTGAATTTGATAGATTTTATTCATGTTTGAGATTATTTACTGATTTTTGCCATTTTCTGTAAAGAGCCAAAGCACGGCTTCTAGCTTCATTGGCAGAAGAAGCAGAAGCTGTGGTAACGGCGTGTTCGGCAACAGCAAAGACTCCGTGTTGAATCATTTTTAATTTTAAATTAGAGTGGGGAGAGGTTAATAAAACAGCTTGATTATATCTTTAACCCCAGAATATAAAAATAAAATAAAAATAAAGCACCCATCTGCGTCATCAAGCTTGAAATCGGTAGTTAAATAGAGGTTCGATGATTGGCTTTGAGTAGAGATATTTCTTTCGGCTGCTATGATAAACAGATTCTCGATTGAAACAATAACAATGTCTATTACTTAGTAAGTGTATGGATAGTATGTTGTAATATGCTACTGTGTACTAGCGTTAGATGCCACTCCAATAACTGGAAGACCATGAATTAAATTTGACGTCCGCCAGTCTCACGAGTGGAATGGCATACAATATGTGTTTAAAGGAAAAGTCGGCCTGCCTGTTGTTTTTTCTGCTTTTGTTTGTATAAACTATCATCACATCATAAAACAGTTCAATTCTGTATAACGGAGCTTTTTTTTCTTTTTTTTTTTTTTTTTTTTTTTTTTTCAGGACGAACTTATTGAATAAAGTAAAGTGAGGGAAATTAAAAAGTTACATATTTTTTCTTTTATTTTACTATTCTTCCACATATCCTTTCTGTTTTCTAAATTAAATGACGGATGCTCTTGTAGATACTTTATCCGACTATTTGAATAAAGTGGATATATCTCCGGGATCTTCAATAGAAGATGACATAGACAGTAGAAATAATCATGATAATGACCTTGTCACGGCTCTTACGCTGCCTGAACCATTAAAGTCTAATGAAGGGGCTGACCGCAATATAAGATTAATGGAAATAGAAAGAGAGGCCACCATAACTACCAACACGCTTAATACAGCAGCAGTAATAAATCATAAATTGAACGCTGGGATGGTCTACAGGGATTACATTTCTGATTCTAGCGATTTAAATTCCGATACTTCTTCTGTAGATGACCCTCAATACCAACGACAACTGTTTCGTCAATCCACGGGTGAATTGACTCTAATTAGTAAAGCTGTATCTGTTGATACGCACAATGGTTCGGATGTTTCGTCTTCAGTTGTTCCAGCAGAAAGGAATCCGGTATCTGATCTGCTCAGGTCACCCGCTTCTTCTGCAGAAAGCGACGATGAAGACACAGCTATGTCCGAATATTATTCTGCAGAATCCTTGAAGAAAAAGTTGACGCATCATCACAAGAACAGTACACTTTCATCTGACTCAATTAATAGACACCAACCTCAACAAACCAGAACAATGTCAGTAACAAACAATGAACCACCACCGCCACCGCCACCTCCGTCCCTGAAAAAAATATTGCAACATTACGATCATGCAATAATTCCCGATACAGAAGAAAAAGAAGACCAGGACAATTCGAAAATACTGGATATAGAATCAAATGTCCAGGCAAGATTTATTACAATGGAAGAACAACTTGAAGTCAATGATGAGTTATACGTTTCCTCAAGTGAAGACCAAGAAATTAAAAAATATGGTAAACTGCCGAATAACTTGAGTATGTTCAATTTGACTTATTACCCGCAGATGAAGAAATCACCCACCGAAAGACCGAAGTTCGATCTCTAGAGCAGCGAAGATCTATCAAGCGATTAAATGCTATCAAGGAATTAATGGAAACTGAAGAAACATACAGCCGTGATCTGGGTATTCTCTGTACAGTGAGTTCAAAAGATTTTGAGGCCACGAGATTTTAAGATCTTACTAACGTTTTTTTTTTAATATAGCACTTTTTTGCTATTATAAAAGAAGCAACATGTATCACACAGGAAGAGGGTGATATTTTGGTGCGCAATGCAATGGAAATTCTGTCTTTTCAAGAGAAATTTACTGAGGCTTTGATTGATGCTCATGGGGACGACGAAGTAGAGAGGAATGGAATATTTTATAAAGGAAATCTAAAGAATATCGCCTCTTGCTTTGTCGAATGGGTAAATAACATGACAAATAATTTGTCATAATCATTGTCTAACAAAATAAACCTTTTAGGGTCCAAGGTTTGAAATTTATCTCGACTATTGCGTGCGACAGGATCATGCAGTGTCGGTTTATAACGAGCTGTTACAAACAAATCTTGAATTTACAGATCTAATTGAAAGACTCCATACATTTCATCGTGTGTCATTTGGATTTAGTCGCCTTAAATTTGATGATTATTTAATCATTGTAAGTTAACATGTGAAAAAAAAAATCAACGAATTAAACATTTTATTTTAGCCGTTTCAAAGAATATTTCGATATAGGCTACTATTGCAAAGCATCACCAAGGCTACCCAAAAGGACTCTGAAGAATATGAAATTCTTTCTAAAGCTCAAAATACAATACATGTTATTGCCACTCGAATCAACAATGAAAAATCAAAGATGGAAGCGAAGAGAAAGACTTCTCTATTTTTGTCCCGATTGGATTCAGACTGGTGTTTACCGAAAAGATGGTTCAATACACTTGGCGTTTGTAATTTAATTGGCACATTAGAAGTCAGATGCATTGAAGATAACAAAGCAAAACGAATTGGATGTGCTCTATTTAATCATTATATGATCATGGCGAAGGCTAAGAAACATAAATTATATGAGCCTAGACATTGGTTCCCTCTACGCAAATTTGAAATTGAAAATTTACCAAATACAGAAGGTTAGGCACATTTGATATGCAACAAGACAAGGAGATTAAATTTTTACTTTTATTTTTATCATTCAGGCTCAATGACATATTCATGGTTGTTGCATGGTGATGAACATACTCTTGAGCTAAGCGCGATATGTGAGCTAGAAAAACATATATGGATGGAATCGCTAACCAAAGCAATCCAAGAATCAAAAGAGCTGTATTCAAATAGTGTTGATTCTAATGATTATTTATTGGAGCAATTGTTCGTATCTAGTTTTGATCAACACACACAGCCCAAAAACAATATGGACAAATCAGTTGAAGTAGAATCCCCAATTCATTTCCCGATGCCAAGTGGCTCCACAAGCTTTTCCCAATCCGCCATATTTAACAAACCTGCAAAATCTAATAATCGTTCATCGCAACCCGTATTTGGTACTCGAGAGTTCTCAGTCATCGACTCTGCATTATCCCAAACTGCATTTAATACCGGAGCACAATCTCCCGGACTTAGGTCACAATCAAGTATCAGCGATCTTCGTGAGTTTTTTTCCAATAGTATGTCAGAGAAATGGTCTCAGCGAAAATTCAATCAATACCACACCCGGTGTAAGTCCGTAGATACCAAGTTTGATGATGTTTGCACCACACCTATTTTGACTGCTCGTGCTAATAGTATGAACCGAAATGGGTCTACAACGCGAAGAAAAATCGGAGCAATCTCCAACGGCAATGGGAATTCCTCTGTAGTCTCACTCGTGAAATCTATGGTTGTTGATTCGACTGTAGGATCCCCTATAATCAATTCGCCATCTCCTCATGATAATTCAAGTCCCATTTATGGAAATTTGAATGGTAGAAGACCCTCAGTTGGTACCCCAAATACAGACTCCATAATATTTAGATTAGCCCAAAGAAATTCGTATCTGCATCGGTCAAGCTCTGTAAATTCTTCCGCAGATGCTACTTCAGCAACAGTGCCTGCTGCTGTTACAGCAACATCTTCTACAAATGCAATATCAACAACAGCTGGTCTGTTGCCTCCATCTAACAGTGTACACAGTCTTTCTAATCGCCCAACCAAATTCTTTGAAAGAATGGTGGAAAAGCTGGGTCAGATGGGCACGCCGGGAAAATCAAGACGAAATAACATGATGAGTTCTGTACCCTCCCTCGTTAATTCGTCAAGCTCTTCCTTATCATCAAAACCTCCTACATTACTTGGGAATGATAGTAACCCAAAACTTTCAGAGGACACTCCAACAACTAGCTCAAAAAAGAAGGTAAATAAAAAAAAAAAAAAAAAAAAAAAAATGCAAGCATCACTTACACTAATTTTTTTATCTTTCAGTTTTTCCCCCATTTTCTTCAGCCCCGTCATAACCTCAAAAAATAAACAGAGTATTTTGCCATATTCTGGAAGGCTTCTTTTTTACATGTGTTGTATATATCAACAACCAAATTAAGAAATATATATTTGTCCCAGCTAATCCTATTATGGTTAAATAAAAGTTTGATACATGCATATATGTTTGAACAGGAAGGAATGGTGTACAGATGATAAATGTTTTGTTTAATTGATAGATCAATACCATAAAAGGGGATGTGACTAAACGAACATAAAAATAGAAATTTCGGCTTGTATATTTTATTTTGCGTCGGTAGCGATCGGCATTGGCGTGTCTTTAATTGAATTCATACTTTGGATAATTGTTTCTGGACCTGATTCGCTACCACTCGTAGTGGAAGACATAGTCTTTTTAGTTTTTCTCTTTTGGCTTTTGGAATTATTGAGGGTGTTGCTCTTAGATATGGCTGGAGCAGAAGTATTGTAGACTACTGACTTTTCCTCAGGTGGTGGGGTGATAACAGAATTGGGAACTTCCCTATTTTTCTCTGGACTCGGTTGCAAAATTTGTGGGGGTGGAGGCGATTGTTTGGTTGGAATCTCTGAAACCATTATGCTGCTTGCATTCTCCGGGTTTCCCTTTTCCATTCCGATGTTTTCGAAAGCAGAATTACTTGTGTTGCTATCCATGAAAGAAGGTGTTTTATCTGATTTGGAAGAACTCTGACTGCCTCCTTTTACACCTGTTAAGCCTTCACCAAGCCAATCATGTGCATCCGATTCTTTCTTGAGAAAACCGTTCATCAAAGGCTTGCTACTTGTGATGGAAGAGATGGATTTCTTAGGAGTTGGGGCAACAAGTTGAGGAAACTCGTCAGACTTGCTATCTAACATTGAAGAACTGGCCAAATCTTCCGTAGAATCTTGCAGATACTTTGGCTCGCTTTCATCCTTTTGGGTGCCGAACAAAAATGTTTCCTTGCTTGAGAGTATTTCATCATCACTAGAAGTTGTAAAGAAAGATTCCGACAAATTTGGACCAGAAGGATTTTCGGATCCAGGTTTCGAAACACCTGTGATACCATCAGGAAACAAAGTCGCGGGATCCTCTTGCTTGGTGGAACGATACATGGATGCTTTAGGAGTGGTTACACCACTAATGACAGATGTAGAAGGGCGCATTAAACTACGAGGGATAGCAGTATTCTTGATAGTCTCGGTACTTTCTTGAATATACGAAACCCAATTACGTAAACGGTAATCATTAACAACTGTAGATGATTTCGATTTCAATGCACTAACAAGCTGCTCAACACGATTTTCAATTCCTTTGACACTTAAAATACCATGTTTCGATGCGAGATAAGAACCGCCGAGACCTGGACCGGACGAATTAATGTGCGCAACAGACCCTTGCTTGATCATTAACTTATGACCATCTCTAAGACGATAAAAAAGTGTTCCCTAAAAGTTGTTTGTTTATTATTTTTTAATATAAATATTGAAGAAACAAGTTTTTTATTTACTTACATCATATGCAGAGAGAACATCTTCCTTTGTGAGACGACCTCGATGACCAATGAAGAAGTAGGCTGTACACAATTCAGCCATACTCCCGGCCCTATAGTAACAAAAAAGGTTAAAATCCATGCTTGAATTTACGCCATTTACCTCCCTATTTTTCTTACCATGCTTTTACGTCTTTTCCTAATCTTTCTTGTTCTTTCGTCATTCTTATCAACTCGGGTACAGTTATGGTTTTACCCGATTTGTCCGACTGAGCGTATTTGTTGAACAAATTTTCAAATTTCTCTGGTACAAACAACCCATTTGAATCATAAGCACCTTGATTGCACTGAGTTTCTTTCTTGGCACGAATTAGGTTTCTGACGTTAGAGCGGCATAGCGGATCTGGGAACCATCCTTTCTGAGTGGATAAAGATAATAGAACACCAAAGAAAGTGCCAACAGCAATACTAAATAAGGTACCATATCCAAGTGTGATAAAACCTTGAAACAAACATCACATTATTAAACGCGTTAAGAAATTTAATTTATCTATTTTACCAGAAATAGTGTCAAGAGGAGTGATGTAACCTTTGTGTTTCTTATCCCAAAACTTGACGTGTTTTTGTATGCCCTATTTAACAGTGTGAGATACAGCTACGAACGACTTATTGTATTCCTTACAGATTCTTCAGTAGGCGAACTTTCTTTGGTATTCGGTGCCAATAATGAGTTGTACACTATAGTTTTATCATATTGGTTATATATACTGCATGCATTACTCTTAAGTAGAACTTACTTTTGGAAGAACTGTTATTCATTTTTGCTGGTCCAAAAAAATAATGTGAAAAAAGAAGAAAGAGTTGATTCAGAGGTAAAATTTAAGGAGATAATAAGGAGCCTTCTGCAATTATTGCGGAAGTTCAAATATAAGTGGTCCTATGTGGTTGGTCCAATCGCTAACCCTAAATCATAACATTGTTATCTTTCTTCACTTTAACGGGTAGTGGCGTACTTTAAGTTTTACGCGAAGTCTGTTATCGAGTTAGAATAAGTGACTTCCTAGTAAAAAAGAATGATCATGGTCGTCGATGGGTGACTTAAATAAAAGGCGATTTAGCAACTTAGACTTTGGTAAGAAATGGGCTAAATAGTAATTTATGCCAGTCTCAGAAAGTGATGCTCATGGCTGCTATTGTGTGAAGTAGTTTATACATCTTTTGCTAAAAATGATGTCTCTAGAAGAAAAAATCATAGTGTTTCACTTTTTAAAAACAGCGTCGTATGTTTTTAAAAAAGAGTGTCGTACAATTCAGGGAAAATAGTGAAAAAAAAAAATCAATAAACAGTTCAATTAAAAGGCAACATTTGAGAGATTAAATGTAAAACAAATACTGGTCCCAAAGAAAATTATTATATCACATAACTTTCATCTTCCACTTTGAGACAAATGCCTTTCGAGGTAAGATTAAAATAGTGTTCATCAGATTCTTTCCTTAATTTGGTCCCGGCGAGACTATTATCTTCCATTATGCGAAGCTTTCTTCTGAATTTTTGCTATATGGCATAATCAGTGTAGAAATGAAAGCGATTGGATTACAGAGAGAATTGTATTTAAAGTTTTCGGTTGAGATTTCAGAATTAGACAAGCATACAAGATCGTATTTGTTTGCAGTATCATTTTGGAGTTTTTCAAAACCATTCTCTAATTATTAAAATAAAATTTAACGCCCAAAACTTATGACTAAAGATACAACAGCAGAGAGGCATTCAGCAAAAGAGTTACTATCTTGGCATACGGTCTTCTTTCAGATTGGTATGTGTAATTACTTCATCATTAATTTTTGGTTGATTTGATTCGATTTAAGCTTCCAATTGTTAACTATGCTTAATACTTCTTCGCATGGGAGGAGAAATTACCAATAAATCAATCTCTTTTATTTAAAGTTAGTTGTCTTTGTATTGTCCTTGACATGAGTTTTGGGCTCCGGTTTATCCTCACAGAAGAAACCATTGTTTAAGCCAGCTGCATGAGTTAAGATAAAATCCGGTTTGTCATTTTTCTGTTCTGAAGATACGACTTCCATTGTTTGCAGAAATTTTATTACTTGAGAATGGTATTCGGAACTAAAATACAGAAAGATAGGATATATTTTTCATGGTTATTAGTTTCACTGTTTGGGTCTCTTATCCAGATTTGACAAAGAAAATAAAATCAAAAAAGTGCCCATATATATTTAAAATGGTGAGGGAGGATATGTCATAAAGTACTAATTTACTAAGCTTTATATATACTTTCACTTTTGTTTGGACAATTTGATGTTGGAGTGTTTTGAAGTATTTTCAAAGGGATTTACGTCGTTTACTATATTATAAAATTGCTCTTTTTTTTTTGGAAGTAGCTGATTCTTTGTATAAATTGCTACTCTTCATCTCGCGGTTTCAGGGCGAAAAAAGTTTTATAATTAAAGCATATGTCTTGAATTACTGACTTGATTTGTTTTGAGATGACTCCATGTTCTGTTAAATCGATAATCTTTTTCATGCGGCTATTTCAAAAAAGCTATTGATATACTATGCTAAAAGGGTTGTTTTTATAATTCCATCATTGCAATTATTCGTTCAGTTTTATTATTTATCTCCATAACTAAGAGTTCCTAGATCAGCTCCCTTTTTTATTCTTAAGTCTTGAAGCCGTGTTTCGTTGGTCACTGTCTACACAGGAGTAGCATTTCTTTATAAGAGGTGGGGGGATGCTGTCACTAAGGATTTATAAAGCATCTACTTTTTCAAATGCTAGTTTATTATGTAGATGCGCGCGACTCTTAGTTTTTCCGTTGTTATTTTAAGGTATTCTCTTTCCTCGTAAGTGCAGAAATCTTAGGTTCAGTGTATTGTATCGCTAATCTCTGGTTTAGGACCTGATGCACCAAATGTATGTATATCGAATCAGAATGTATCTACTTGATTTTGTTAAGATAAATACTAACTATTAATTTTTGTGTCAAAACAAAGGGCATCCTTCTCTCGCAGGTATTGCGTATAGAAGTGAATGTTCAAAACACATCCTGGCCATCAATAAAGTAGTGAGTTAAACGCCTCTGCTTAAAAAGACGTGATCCGACAAAAAGAACTGGTTGATAGATAATCCTTTGTAGATCTAAAAATTGACATATTAATGAGTTGACAGTACATAATAAACTGTTTATTGAATATTATAAATTTGATAGTTAGAACCGTAACCATTGCGTATGTATGTGACGTACTTTTTTTTTTACCAACGTATCGCACTATTGATTACAGTATTTTCCTGAAATTTCTGACACTTTTTTCGAAAAACATACGAGATCTGTTACTCAAAAAGTGCCAATTGCGTTTTTTCACGTGAAAGCTCAACTTAAATAACGAGCTTTTTTTTTTTTTTACAAAATATGCTTGTCATACGCCCAAATTCTACCCGTTACTTCACAAACATTAGTCGAGCAATTGCATGTGACGGTGTTGATTTGACTTGTGAAAAGGGTTAGAAGTTCAATGAAACATAATATAAAGGGATTAAAAGCTTGTAAATTGAGTGACTTCATCCTATACCCAATACAATCACTCCTGAATCAATTCAAAAAAGACACGTCTACAGAATAATTCTTACACTCATAACCTTGTTGAATAAACAGCTTTTAATTTTATATGTCTTGATGTATATCGCAATTAAAATTAATCGGAGGTCTTTTAGCAAAGAATTTCTTTCTTGTATCAAAACAAAACAAAAGAAGTTTCATTCAGATATGTTCTTTGCCATGTGAGATAATCAAAAAAGGTTTCATTTAATAGTTTGCTCTAGTTGCATACCATCCTCAGCAATAAAACTTGTCAAATTACAACTGAATATAATTTGCGCTGTAAGGATGTGTATAAATGGTGCATCATTTCTTATTAAAGTTGACAATCATCTATCTAAGTTTTTAAAATTGAACTAACAGATTGTCATAATTTTTAAGTATACCTATTTCGATATAGTTGTCCATTTAATTTGCATGTGGGGTAACGTTATGACACTAATTTGACCCGTTTAAGCCGCATAAACTCACTGTTCTCGTGCCACCCACACAGATCACACGCCTGTGCCACTTGCATATTTATTTGTTTTTCCGTTTTTTTTAATAAATTTTGTTACACGTGATTCTGGGCATTTTGAAACGGAAACAGGTTTTGTAAAACGTATAAAGTAGGAATATTTGGCTTAGAGTTCATACAGCACTTGCTTGGAGATTTCATTAATTCAGTTGGGTGCTCTTACTTGTCACTGTAGCGGAACTATCAAAACCATCCTCATACAACAATTTTAAGAATTTACTTTTTCTGTAAAATGTTTTTTTTTGCGTAATACAAGATACGTAAAGTACCCTATTACTTACGGATGATGTTTTAGTGCTGATATTTTCATTTTTTAACATTTCTCTCAAGTATTATCACTATGCTGTCTATTTTTATCAATACTAAAATCCGTTATCACTTGGCTCAATCCATTCTAATCAGGCATCTTAATCGTTGCATGCAATAAATCATTTGGAGCCAATAGGACTTTTATGTTAACGCCTGTCCGTCAACGTAAAGGTAAGAGTTTTAATTATTTGGTACATTATTAATAGATCCCTCTTAGTAATATATAACACAGGAAAAAAAGTAAGTCCAAAAACAAAAACCAATTACTACATTTTTGAGGTGACCAAATATGCCATGATCATGGATGGATAACAAGATCAAGTGTAAATTCAGTAGAGGGGAATGAGTGTTATTTGCTTCTAAGTAAATAAACAATGTCCAGATGTGAAAAAAACATAAACATAACTTTAGAAAGTGGTCATTCAGATAGAGTGAAAATTTGGCTGTATGTTACCATTCCCATAGAACCCTATGTTGCTCAAGCTGATAATGCAAGGGAAAAAGTTATAAATCACATTAATTTGAGACAATCCGTCCGGGTAAGATACGCTTGTTTTTGAAGAGATATATCGTGCATCTATTTTTTTTTAAAAAAAAAAGGACCTTTCCTGTAATTTTACTTTTGTTCACAACGCAGTGCAATTTGTCACGGAATAATATGTAGCCGAAGAATATTTGATCTTCTTTTTTAGTAAAAAATGTGTGTAAAGAGAAAAAAAAAGTATCAACATAAAACTATTTCAAAGGATCAGTTAAAAAGACCAATGTTATTTCTTTACATTCGTCTTACGATAAGATTTCGAGTTTTTTGAATAATTATACCAAAAAGCTGTTCATTGTGACATATATATATACACTGTACAATAATATCATTCGCATTGAATTCATTTTTTTTTTTTTACTAAACCCAATTATCCCTTGATCCAAGAAAGAGTAATACCCATTTTATACAACCGTTGTGATTCGGTTACTATTCTAAAAGTATTTTTATTTATGTTATAAAATGGATAAACATTTTGTAGGATATTTTTTGCTGATAATAATTTAAGGAGTAGAGGTAGTAGTACTACTGGTGGAAGTGTTAGAGGTGGAAGAGCTAGAAGTAGTGGTGGTGGTACCGGTGCTACTGGTACTAGAAGTACTAGTGTTAGAGGTGGTACCAGTATCAGTAGAAGTACTGGTATTGGAGGTGGTACCGGTATCAGTGGAAGTACCAGTGGAAGAACCTGTATCAGTAGAAGAACCGGTACCAGTGGAAGAACCGGTATCAGTACCACTGGAAGAGCCGGTATCAGTACCACTGGAAGAGCCGGTATCAGTACCACTGGAAGAACCGGTATCAGTACCACTGGAAGAACCAGTATCAGTGGAGCTAGGTGCGGAAGAGGTGGAATCGGTGCTAGATGTAGGGTTGGATGAGGTGCTAGGTGTACCAGAGGCAGAATCAGTTCCTGCGGGATCGATTGCATGTTCAAGAGCATTTCTGAGTCTTCCGATAACAGCTTCAGTGTCAGTGCCAGTGTAAGCATCTAAATAGGTAAAGTGACATACATCAGCAAGTAGTCAATAGAATGTGGCATGGATAACTTACAAATGAATGAATAGGCTGTTTGGGTAATAACTTTAGTATTGACTTGAGTGTCAATATCGACTTCAGTGGAAACACCACCATCAACAACCTGAATAACTGTTTCACCGTCAACAATCAAAGTTTGTGTGGCAAGAGCAGCACGCTTAACCAAACTGATGTTAAAATAATGCGATTAGTTGGAGGACAATACTTAATATATATTTTCAACTTACTCGACGTGGCCAGCAGGTGTGGCTGAGACACAAGCGGCGAGAGCAACAACAGCTGAAAGGGTAAGCAACTTCATATTGGAATAAATTAAAAGTTTTGAAGCTTAAAAAGGTATATTGAGATGATGAACTTTATTGGAAATCCAAAGTTATCGGGTCTATTTATACGAGTTTTCACTAGGAATGTCGATATAGTTCATACCAGCATTCTGGAGAATTTTATCGTCAGGTATGCGGTATATGATGTGATAGTCCGTTTTAAATTTTCATGTTCGCTGATTTTTTGTTTTTGTTGTGTTCTATAAGATATTTGAAATAAATGCAGCAATGGATACATGTATGGGATTTTATTTTTTTCAAAAAAAAAAGCAGGGATTTAGACAACAATTTTCTTCTCTGTTTTAAATCTTATTAAAATCGTATTTTGCCTTACAACCAAGTTCGTTTACGTAAAAAAAAAGGGGGGGGGGAGTAGTTTATTATCCATAATTGGCTTAGTCTGTAATTATGCTATCAAATCGATCATTTATAAAAACATATGCAACTACGGGACTTTTTTTTGCTATTCCACGTAAACTATAAAGGTAAAATTTTTATATTAAACCATTTTAAATTTCTCGACTTATCCCACAGCAAAAGTTTATTGTGTGAACCAGGTTTACTGTTTTGCTTATTTCGTAACAGCCTCGAAGTGACATGTTTTCCAATGTTTGACAGAATCTGGTCTTGTATTTTAATCAATACAACGTGAGTGTACACGCTATAGTTTTAGACTATTCCAGTTCGCATCGAGATCAGTCTTTTGCACAGCTATTTTTTTTTTCACTGTTTTACTCTAGACGAAATTTAGACAAAAAGTATCCGTGCAAAATATGTAATGGACTGCCCCCTATTTTTATTTTAAAATAAATCTAAAAAGATAACGCTATCACGTCTAATCCATTGAGTTTTTTTTTTTATATAAATTGATATCTTATAATTAGTGTGTCAGAGACTTTATAATGGAAAAGGTTTATTTTTATAATATTCTAGTGGTATTAATTAATTATTTTTTTGTTGTTGTATATGGTTTTCTATTTTTCTTTCAGAAAAGAAACATATTAAGCAGCAGTTTCCTCTGCAGCATCGGCGGCGGTGGAATCAGTGGCAGCGTCTGCGGAATCACTGGAAGTATCATCATTTAAGAGGTTACCATTTTCATCAACAGCTTCACCGTCTTGGTTGGTATAGGACATGGTACCGCTAGAGCTGGAGCTGGATCCGCTGGAACCACTGGAACTGCTGGAACCACTAGTACCGCTGGTACCGCTGGAGCTGCTGGAGTCGCTAGATCCACTATCATTGCTAGCAGCATTGACAACAGGAAGATCGGTAGCAGCGGCGCCGAGAGCATCTGTTACATCGCTTACCAAGTTACCAACATCTGATGTTACGTCACCGACTAAACTGGTGGCATCATCAGCAAGAGATTTGACGGGAGCACCATCCAAAATATCATCAGCGAGGGAAGCGACATTGTCAAGGAGATGACCAACAACATCTGCGATTTGTGAAATCAAGCTTTGGCCATTGTCAGCAATAGGAGCTGCTGATGTAGCAGCAGGGGTAGTCGTAGCATCAGTAGCAGTTGTGGCAGCAGGAGTAGTTGTAGCAGAAGCAGAATCTGTAGGAGCAACAGATGGTGAGGTGACAACACTTGGGGTAGCAGAGTCAGTGCCTGCAGGGTCAATGACACCTTCAAGACCACTTCTAAGTCTTTCGATAAGAGCTGAGGTATCAGTACCAGTGTAAACATCTAAAATCATAACCATTATCAGGATGAGTTATTTTAACGTTTAGAACAGCAAAAAAGATTGCGACTTACAAACAAATGAGTTGGCAAATTGAGTTTCGGTGAAGGTGTTAGTTTCGGTAAAAGTAGCAGTTTCAGTGGCTACACCACCGTCAACGACTTGGACAACTGTCTTTCCATCAACAACTAAAGTCTGTGTGGCAACGGCAGCACGTTTGGCCAATCTATTAAACAGAGACATTGTTAGTTAGTGGAATCTTATCGATAGGAGAAAATATTGTCTTACTCCATGTGACCGGCAGGTGTAGCGGAAACACAAGCAGCGAGGGCAACAACAGCTGAAAGAGTAAGGAACTTCATATTTAAATAGATTAAGATAAAATAGTAATATTTAAATTTTTTATAACGAACAGATGGAAGAACTGGGGGTATTTATACACTTTTCTTTACAGAGGAAGAATGTGTGAGGATGAGACCATGACGGTTTAATTTGAACTATAGCAAAGGTATTTCTACTGTTTGCAATATAAAGTTTATTTAGATTAAGTTTAGCAAACAATTGGGGACAAACTTATTACGATGCCTTTTAATCCTGTTGTTGTAAATGTCAAAGATGGATCAAATGCCCCCCGCCTCTGCTCCCCCCTCATTAATTGTGGCCTACCGCCACCCAAATGCAGAGAAAATATGAGCACTTGTTTTTTTTCCGGTGATTTTCGGAATGTTTTTTAAAAAAATTTCCTTTTTGAACGTGTCTCATAAAAAAAAAAAATCAAATTCTTCACAAAGTTCAAGGTACATTTCCAAACAAGTCGTCTTTTTTTAAATATCGTAAACCATCTTAAAGTTTCCATATCACTCAAACGATAGAAGGAAATAAATCGGACTTTTGGTGATCATAGCATACCTTGTTGACATAAGATATTGTGACACATGATAGCCTCATATATAAATCATACTCACTCATGTTTTTGTAAATAATAGAATACATTATGTGTAATTACAGTGGAGAGAAAAATAATACATATATATATATATATATCGGAGGAAATAAATGGTTGATCGAATTTATGCAAAACCTCTCTTAGTTTACTGCTGCTCATTCACGATTTATGGGATAGATTGTAATTGCAACACTTGATATGCATAAATATTTGTCGCCAAGGATTATGTAGGTTGTGCTGATTAACTAATTTTTCGCTGGATAGCAACAATATTTGTTTATTTGTAATACACCTCTATAAATTTGTGTATGACTACCACAAAAAAAAAAAAAAGAAAAAAAAGAATCATGCTCAACGATATTCCTCGATATGAATTGGTGAACGAGATAGAGGAATTACTTCTTCCATGTTCAAAGAATTGTGGTTATTTTTCTTTTTAATAAGCGTACCAGGCTTCATATGTTTAAACTAATAAATAAATTTTGTTAGCCACTGACAAAGCCTAGAAGTGGCTTCTTCCATTTTTTTTTTCTTTCTTTGGCATATAAACTTACCACCACTAGTTCGTTGACACGAGATAGATTCAAGAGAAAGGCCATGACTAAAAAAGCAATTCCGTCAATAACAACTAGTATCAAGTAGCTGTATATATCCCAAAAGGGACCTATCTTGATCAGTTCAGCCACTGCATACAAGTCATAGACACACCGAGCCATCGTCAACAACCCCAGTACCAATAACATGATGATTGTGTCACGAAATGTCTTTTTTACGTGGATCTTTTTATCCAATGGCAAATCACGGCTAATTGAGTCTCGACGGCTCTCCTCTGCAATATTCGAAATAAAAGCCGAGATAGCGTAGGCGGAGCAAAGAATTAAATACACCAGGATCAGGATCACATTGAAAGTTGCTCCAAGCAGTTTCAATATCAAGGCTTTTCGAACCACTCTAGCTCTCTCTTCTTCTTTATGAGATTCCGTGACAAGAATGATATCGCCTGATAGTGAGAGAATAAACGGAATGGCTGATAATAAGGCACTCAAGATTCCCAAATAATATTTAGACAGGTGAAGATTTCTTTGTAAGCCGACTCGAATCCATACTTCCAATAAACGAATCAATGCAATCACGGCAAAGTAGGATCCCACTGCTGTAATAACGATTGAGCCGTACAAGGCGTTTTCGTGCGTGAGATCTTTGTCGTTCTCATGGTGGTCTTCTATCTCTTCTGGTCGCTGCTGTCTTTCTTCCTCCGTGAAAATGATTAGGAAGATATGTGCCAGTGAGTATAATACTTTTTACAAACAAATAAATTTAGTTTAGAGGTCTATTGTTATTATTATTGTTATCGCTGTTTTTCCTACATGCTGCTGTTCCAAAGTAAAGATAAGGTAAAAAGTAACCTCTTCTTGTATATTTATCATATAAAGCAAAAGTTAGTATACTGCCTATCGCGCTTTTTATTTTAGTTATACAAATAGAAATCAGTGTTAGCTTCGGGATCGCCTGTCTAAATTATTTTATTCATTTTTTACCTGTAAATCACAGCCGGTATAAATGTAGGAGTTGTCAAAGATCGAACGCTATTTTCTGCTAAATAGGTCGAAACGTCATCTGGTAATAAAAGCTGATCCATAGAAGTTTAATATGAAAACAAAAAGGGGGAAAAAATAAAAATACAAAAGGGAGAAGGGCACCCGAATGAAACTCTGTTATATATATAAATATAAACTATTTTTGGCGGGCTGAGGGAACAGAAGAAGGGAACAATTTGTTACACAGAAAGACAAATGATTTAAAAATAAATCTTGCTTGCAAAAAAAATTCATTCATCATTGTTACTATTTTCCGCGTTTAGAAAGTGCATCATAGTTTTACTGTACTTCGCTTTTTTTTTTTTTTGTAAAAAAAAAAAAGTCATCATCCTAAGCGGCATACTTAGCACCTGCATGTATCACTTATATGTTTAAATTGAAGGCATCGATATCTGTTTGTCGAGTAAAATACCAAGACAACTTGATACGATCCCGTTTAATACAAATTTGAGAGGCACGAGTCAAAATATTAGGTTTTCTAACGTTACTGTGGCACCTGATACAATCAGCCAAACCTGCTTTAAATAACAATTTTTTTTTTTTTTTTTTTTAATAAATGACAGTTATGAAAAAACAAAAAAAGAGGTGTGAAGCGGGGGGGGGGATATACAATAAAAATACACAACTAATTCCTTTTCTTTTTAAATACATTCTAAGCATCATCATCTAATAACTCCAAGTGGCCCTTGATAGCTCCACCAACACTGACACGGTCAATTAAAAATGTATCATGACCAAACATAGCGTCTAATTCATAGTAAGTGACACGGTTATTACCAGCAGCACGCAAACACTCAGCGATTTCTTTTTGTTGCCATACTGGGAACAAGATATCGGATTGGACACCCAAAACCAAGGTTGGCATGGTGATTCCACTCATACCTTCCACCAGATCCTGTGTTGCGGGATCGGAAGAAAGCGTAGTCAATCTAGGCTTACTCTTCTTTTCGCTCTCATTGTTGACTTGTTTCCCTTCCAACGCGGTATAGGTGCCCATCACAGATCGACAAGCCTCGGCCATGACACGCGAATCCTCTTCTTCTGGGCGTTCCAACCCTTGACGGTGTTTCAAGATTTCTTCAATTTTAGGCAGGTTATGCTGACGTTGTCTTGCCAACTTTGCAATTTCCGAGCTCGACATATCAAACATGTCCATGGCTTTGGAGATATACAAGAGGGAATTGGGATCGTATTGAAGACAGAATCGTTCGCCTTGATGATCCAAGTAGGTTTCAATCAAAAAGTCGGGACATAATGCAGGTGATTGGTTCTCATTGGATCGCTTGCGGCCAAATCGAAGTTCCCATTCAGGTCCAGATCGATAACTAATAGTGGCAATTTCACGCGCAAGCTATAATATATATATATATGTATATAAATATCTTCACACACACACACACACACATTTTCTCTTTCTCTATTTACCTTCATACCAACGTGAGGTGGAATGCCCTTATAGTAAAATCCCTTGTTCCAATTAGGATCCGCCATCAATACCTGACGTTGTGTGTGTCGAAGAGCGATGGAATAAGGATGCGATCTAGCACAAGCAGAGATTGAAATCAATCTCTTGACACGTTCTGGGAATAATTTCGCTGCGGCAATGGACTATAGCAACATACTTAGTTAAACATATTTATCCACCCCGCCTATGTTTTTAATTTTTTACCTGCATGCCACCCATACTGCTGCCTACGCTAGCATGTAACTTATCAATGCCGAGATGATCCAACAATTTGAATTGAGCACGAATCATATCAAAAATAGTGATGATGGGAAAGCGGGTAGCGTAACGTTCACCATCTGCGGGATCAATGGAACTGGGACCTGTGGATCCATAACAACCACCGACGGCATTGGTACAGATGACAAAAAACTTGTTGGTATCGATATTGGCACCGGGACCAATGAAATCCTCCCACCAACCGGGTTTTGTATTCTTTTCATGCGATTTCGCGTGTGAGGAAGCAGAGAGTCCTGTGTGGATCAGAATGGCATTGTCCTTTTTTTCGTTGAGGGTTCCCCACGTCTCGTAGGCAATTTCAACTCTGGGTAAAATACCTCCATGATCAAGTAAAAATGGGTGTGGGTATTCAAATTTTTCGTAACCTGTCACGATTTTATCATAGCTGGGCTCAGGTCCACTATCCAACTCCAATGTGCGGGAATTCATCTTGTCGATACAGGGAAAGGATAAGGGTGGGTTGGAAGAGGTGGCAGAGTTGTCCATGTTGCAGCTCTTTAACCCGGTTTGCTGATGAATGCCTAAACATAACAAAAAAAAAAAGGGGGTCTCAGTATTTCAAGTTTCATTTATTTTTCGGCTGGACACTACCTACCTCTGGGTGTCAGGCTAAGCAAAGACCTAACGGTGGTTCTTTTTAAACATTGTGTACGTGCTAATGACAACACAGACTTCATTTATATTTTTCTAAAAGGTGAGTAAAAAAAATTAAAAAGAGGAAAATCTATTTTTTTTTTGTACCTCAGCTAACAAGAAAAAGTAAGGATAAATGACGCCATATAAAAACGAATTCTATTGGATTGACAAGACGTTGGGATTAATAATTGAATGTAATTTTTTTTTCTCACATCTAATAGATGAAAGCCATCTGTCTTACTCTCCAAATAAGGTAAGAAGAACATATAACAAAAATAATTAGAAGAACATACATATAACAAAATAAATACACAGTTTTTTTTTAATTATTATTTTAAAAAGTAGATACAAGATTTTCCTGTTTAAAATAAGGCAATGCCATAAGGAGGTTGTCTAATGATATTCCACTTGTCATCATACTCTGCCCACAAGGGCCATCCGAGCTCTTGATAGAGCTGATTACGTACAGTCCACACTTTACCCACATCTTTACTAGTTTCAGATGTCAAGGTCACTTCTGCCAAATACTTTTGAACGGATTTGAGAGCGATACCAGGATGACCTGCCTCACGTTCACGTTTCACCTTGACCAATAAGGAAGCCAAGTTGGTTGCGCTATCATCCGAAGCCCATTGTTCAAGAGCCTTCACACTAGCTTCCAACTCCTCCTTATGATTCTCCTTATCCAATACAGCTGTATAAGCCATCACCTTGTTCTTGAGAGCGTTCAAGAGTTGCTTCTTCTTTTCGTCATTGGCCTTACGCACCGTCTTTTCTTCATCGGATTCCTCAGAGGGTGTCTTACGACCATAGAATTCACAAAGTTCACGTTCATCAAAATGAGCCAAGATACCATCTGCGACCTGAACAATCTCGGTGGCTTGCTCTTCGGTCAATTGTCCGGGTTTGAACAAACTCTCGACGCTACTCTTACCAGCAGAGGCGGTCCAGAGTGCATTCATCTTGAACTCGGCAAACGCAATATCATCGCCATAAGTGGATTCCATCTTGGCCAACAAGTCCTGATAGGCAGCGGAATCCGCAGTGAATTTTTTGAGATAAGAGAGTTGAAGATCTCTTGTAGCATCCTGTAATTTTTGCTCGAGTTCTTCATCGGTAGGCTTCTTTTCATCCGTGGACTTTTTAGTGGAGGCCTCGATGGGAAGAGGAGGGACGGTATAGATGACCTTGTATTGTCCTCCATCGACACCACTTATAAAATTTAATTTTCCTACAAGTGAATCGCCTGCCTTGGCTTCCTTGGGTAAAGCATCTGTAGGAGCTGCGATATGGAAAGCCTTCAACACTTTACGCTCCAAAGCGATCTTTGCAAAATTGGAGCTATTCTTTGTATAGACATCAGCTACGGTTTGATAAGTGTTAAAGTTGACAGTCTTCAGATCCAAATCTAATTCCAATAAGGTATCCTTTAACTTTTCAAGCACGTTCTCTTCTTCAGTGGAAAGTTGAAGCATGATGGTGTAATCTCCCTTTTGGTTGATCTTGATATCATGATCAAAGACATCCAAATAGCCTACCACTTTCTTGTTGGCATCGTAAATGATACCAAAGACACCAGCCAAGAAATGTTCGTACAATTGGTTCATGACGGTAGGGAAACGGGGTGTGATGGTGGTAGCAGAATCCAACTTGATGTTGTAGGAAAGTACCAATTGATACAACAAACGTGTGCTGGGTAACAAGTCTCGATCAGGAAGCATGGGGGTGATTTCAGCGGTCTTGGGACGATAATATTTACGCAACTTGTTAAATGAAACATTGACATTTAAAGCGTCTTCACGACGTACGGGAGTTGAAATCTCCAAACGAGTGACTTGAGGTTCCAAATGAAGTGTACTTTGTCCGTTGGCCAAATTACCTGCAATTTGAACACCATGGAAATCCAAACTTAAATCAATGGAATGTTTACCCAGACCAGACCAGAATTGTGCAAGACACACTTCAAGGTTTAATCCACCACGTACAGAGAATTTCTTCTTGATGACCTGTTCGTCAGAACGAGGATCACCATAGGAACCTGTACCCAAATTAAAGGAATAAGCATGTTTTTCCTTTTGGTTTTGTTGGGGTACTAATTGTAATAGGTGAAGCATGAAACGAGCAGGAGCTGTATCAGCGGGTGCACGGGCCTTAATGATCAATTCACAGCTGGTAGCACCTTCGGGGACTTGAACAAAACGACGAATGATGTCACCAGGTCCATACTCGACATTCTTGTAACGAATGAATCCTTGCGAGGGGACGGTAGGTTTTACGACTGAAACGGGGATATGGAACAATGGACCGCGTTCAGGAGCAGAAGTATCGTAACCCAAGACTTCACCATAATGAAACTTACTTTCGGTCAAGGCCAAAGGATCGACCTTGATCTGGAATGTATTTCCACTGGAATGTAAGTAAACATAATCAGCGACTGAGATCCAAGATTCGGTCGCGACTAAAGCAACACGTACGTCATAATCAAATTTGGCTTGATTGTATTTAGGGTTTTCAGGATCGGTTTCGCCCATAAAGTGAGGTTGAACCTTGGCAGTGAGATATTGCACTTGACTGACCTCGTCGATCTCACGAAGATAGATACCACGTTTGATACCTTGATTTTGAACGATCACCTTGAATAAGAGGTCTAAATCTTTATCATCCTTGAAATTCTCGAGATATTCCCATGCTTTATCCACTTGAATAAATCCGACACCCAAAGGATCCTCTACACTCTTACCGGTTTGGACAACAGCGTTCTTCAAACGATAGGGCGTGTATTCTCTCTTCTCAGCCTTGAGAGCAGATACAAGTAAAGCGACACAACCACAGGCGTTAGGACTGGACATACTAGTACCGTTCTTTAAATCCAACTTGTTCAAGACATAGACAGGGACACTGGTGATAGCACTACCGGGTGCATAGATATCCACACCATGATAACCATCGGTGGTAGGACCTCTGGAAGACCAAGTATAAGGACGCTCTGTGACGGATTCCAAAAGAGCATATTCTGCCTGCATTTGGCAATGCTTAACATAGGCACCTACCGTAATGAAACTAGCGTCCATACCAGCGGGAGCGCCAATGGAACTAAAGCAGGGACCATCGTTACCTGCACTGGTGACAAAGATACAGCCTGATTTACCAACGGCTTCATTGGCCAATAATTTAATGAAATGACCATCGGTGGGTAAACCACTGGATTCACCATAGGACATGTTGGCAAGGTCTACCTTGTGCATGGCAAGATGGGAGGCAGCACGAGTTAAACCAGGTCCGGTTTCCATGGAACCAAGACGAGAATCACCGATACGAAGAGAAACGATTTGTGCACCTGGTGCGACCTACAACACCATTTTTAAAAAAACTTTTGTTTAGTCTTTCTCTCTTTTTTTTTTTTTTTTGGCTTGTTTTAACAAAAATTGCTTATTATATTCATGACTTACACCATTGAGTGCCGGTTCATCGGGGAAATTACCTGCGGTAATGCCAGCAACATGTGTACCGTGACTTCCTGCCAATGTTACAATACTACACATACAGATAAAAAAAAAAGAAGAGAGGTATATTAATTATAACTGAAATATGGACACAGTCATGGCCCCCATTTTTTTTTTATATATATAGATATAATCTTACCTGAGAATATCACCATTGTTGTAAATATTTACAGAGAAATTAAGTAAATCTGCTTTACCAAATGTATGATACTTTAATTCCTTTCTATAATCCGTCAAAGCAGGTTGATCTATATATATATATATAATTATAAAAAATTACCAGATTAGGCAAAAAATTCCCAGAGTAGTATTTTTATGTATATATATATGTGTACCTGATAAATCACCATTTTCATTGATATCAATGACAGCTCTCCAGTCTTTACCATCATGAAAGACAACGCAATCGAGGATGACACCAGGATCTTCATAGGCTTTATCCAAATCTTTTAATCCTTCAATACGAGCTTCCAATTCGGTCTTTTCAGCTGCCGTTGTCTCGTTCTCATCCTTCTTTGCAAAGTCCGCCAACAAAGTTTGTGCTTCGCTTAATAATTGAGCTTGTTTCTTGACGAAATTCTGGCGACGTTCCTAAAAAGAAAAAATATGAGCATACAATAGAGATTTTTTTTTTTAACAAAAAAAAGGGTCAATTCGAAACACTTTACAGATTTAATACGACTCGTTAAATCATTGGGAAACAATTCATAGGCACGTTTAATACCCACACGATATTCATTCGTAGGGTTCTCCCATTCTCCCAAAATCAATTTCTTGCCGCTAAGACCATGAATGATTTTTTTACCATCTTCTTCCGTGGCTTTCACAATCTTGGTGGTTTCAACATCACCTAGGTTATGAAAGTGAGTCACTCTTTCATTCAAAGCGTATAGGGTTTCTTACCACCACCAGTACAGTCCACAATATCAATCATCTTTGGTTTTCCGTCCGTGGTCACCTAGTTGATACAAAAAAAAAAAAAAAAAAAAAAAAAAGATGAGTTAAAAAGAGGACATGTGTATGCAATGCCATCAAAAAGATATTCTACCTGCATGCCAGCAGCTCCAGGGTCGACACCTATTTGTTTAAAAAGAGAGAAAGTGTTAATGAGAGGAAATGGAGGGGGGGGGGGGGGTTGATAAGAAGGGTGTACCTGTGTCAAGAATGGCAATAACAGTGTCTCTGCCGTCATAGTTGGGAAACTTTTTAATAAAGCTTGCAGCTTGTGTGTCTCCCTTTGGCATGAGACCATGAACGGGGTATTCCCCAATAGGTTTTGCACTAAGTACCATTTTGAAAAATATTTAATGATAAAAGAAGAAAAAAAAAATTGGAAACGCGCGTATGCAAATTTATTTAAAACGAGCCAAAAAAAAAAAAAAAAAAAAAATTAATTATTTTGTTGGGAAGCTAAGCTCAATAATGTTCCAGAAACTCTTCGGGAAGAAGTTTCTCGTTTAGGTGGTTGTGGTGGTACGGATGTGGTGGAGCTATTTGAACCTAAAAAATAATAATAATTCTGGGAATAAGCAAACATGTCTTTATTGATAAGTTAGCAAACTTACGAGATCGATTGGATCCACGATCTGGTTCATCCAATTGTAAAGGTGGAATATTGCTCAAGTTCTTATCTGAAGTCAACGAACGTTGAGAAGAAGTGGATGTAGAGCGACGAATCTAATAATAATAATAAAAAAACAAGTCAATGCATTGTGTGAAAATTATACAGTAGAATGAAACTTTACTCTGCCACCTCGACCAGGAGAAGGAGGCACGGTTCGAAAGACAGCAGGAATACTATATTAAAAGGGGGGTGTGTGTGAGTTCCAAACAAATTATGTTCACATTTTTGTTGTCTTAATTTTACCCTTCATCAAAAGGAATATCTTCAATGGATGAACCTGCTTGTTTACGGAAATGAACCAATTCACTCTTGTACTTGTTACACTGTTGCATCTTTAAAAGAACTAATTGAAATATATAAATAAAAAAATAAAAATTAGGGTTGATTACTAAATTTTTGGCTTATTTTTGGTATCATTTTTTTTTACACTCTTTCTCCATTTCAATTGTGCGGTTTTTCAAGACGGCGATTTCGGAGAGCAACATTTCAGCTGTACCTGATTCTGAAGAATTCCATTTTTTGGGCCTTTTTGTTAAAAAAAATAAAGGTTGTTAGGAAGGGGATAGATGAATAAAGTTTAAATAAGTTATTTACATGCTGGGTGACACAGGACCAGGTGATGGAGCGCCATCATGTACAGTCATCAAAGGAGATTGTTGTTGTTGCATCTTTAAAGCATCCAATTGTTTCTGCAACTTATTAACGATATATTCTTGTTCCTGCTCCAACGAGTTTTCCATATCAATCTTTTCACGTTGAAGTTGCGACAATTTCTTTTGTAACATATTCGTCATGTATTCCTCTTCTTGCTCTACTTGTAAAAGTAATTCTCCCTTTTCTTTCTTGAGTCCCGTGATACGTTTCAGCAATCGATTCGAGATGAATTCTTCCTCTTGTTCCGCCATGGCATTCTATGTATATATATAATGTGAGCATATATAGGACCACACATCCATCGTGTATATCTTTCCCCCCCCCACTCTTTTTTTTTTTTTTTTTTGGAAAACCTACCATATCTACCGTCATTTGTCGTAATAGCTTGTTATCATTTCGGAGAATCTTTACGTGTCCTTGCTCCATTTCTAGTTCAAACTCAAGTTTCTTGATAAGTGCTTGTTGTTGCACGTATTTTTCATGCAACTTTTTCACTTGTGCTCGAAGCTCTCCTAAACTTTCAATCGCCATCAATTCTTCCAGGTGAACCGTACTATCAGAACTAACCCATCAAAAAAAAACTAATGAATATCCTAACCCTACATCATGGCAGCTATTTATATATATATTTTACCTTGCCATGTTCTGTAGTTGACCAAGCGTCGATTCAAACGACTTGTTTCGAGAGTTTAAGTCAGCTTCAAGTACAACTTTATCCTTGCGTATCTAGAAACACATATCCCAACCAGCTTTAGAACAAACATTCAAACCTTATCATTCTCTATGGGACAACAATTTATCATTTACCTTTTCAAGTTGCTCACGAATCGACTTTGCAAATACTTCTCCCAAGCGCTCCATCTATACATGTTAAACAGGCACCTTCAACACACACACACAAACTCCTTTTTTATTTATCTTTACCTCGTCACTATCTTCGCCACTGTTAAAATTGGTATTGTTCATGTAATTAATGTAGTTTGGTGGAATAAGAAGCCAAGAAAAAAAAAAAAAAAAAAAAAAAAAGAAAGCTAACTTTTTGGGAGAGAGGGCGGAGTGCTAAATATAACATGGTAGTAGCTTTACCCTCCCATCAAAGCTCACTACACGTATTTCATTCGAGTGGCAAAACTTAACAAAAAAAGGGTCCTTGTCCTATCAGTCTGTAACAAAATAGACATGATGTCTTCCTATCTATACACAATATCTTGGTCATAGTAACAACATTCATAATAATAAAAAACGTGTTAATGTCAAGAGATCTCGTGCTGAACTGAAAAAAAAAAAAAAAAATTACCAATTAGTTTTATTATTATTATTATAATTATAAATGTCTATGTACAATGAGTAAAGCGATCTCTGTTTCTCTTTCTCTTTCTCTCTCTCTTTTTTAAATAATAACTGACTCTTCATATCGGGGAGTATACTCTGGTAAGTCCAAGTCCACAGGTACAGCATCATCTCCCGTCACAGCCAAACTAGGCACCACGTCTGCCCTTGACTCTGTAGCAATCACGGACGAAGGGGTTACCATCGCATCGGACACGGTGGCGGCAGGGTAATCTGTAATGATGATGGGGAACGACAAGGGGATGGGCTCCAACACTAAACCCGCGACTTTATTGAAATGAACAGAGAGTTTACATGCATGTGAAATCTCTAGGAACGGGTCAAACTGATGCGTGTGAATGGAGAGTGTGGCAGGGTTTTTTGAGAGTGGCATTGGAAATCGAATAAAGTGGGTTTCTGACCCGTTGGAAAAGGAAGGAAAATGGTACGTAGCAGGTGGGAATCGTGTGACGATGGGTGGTAAGCTGTGAACACCTTGTTTAGTACAAAACCTATTTATTTTTTTCAAAAGAGGAGGGGAACATCAGTATTCTAACGTTATAGCGTTTTAATCTAACATGAATGAATTTACCTGTAGGTCTCTATTTCTTCAATAGTAAATTCAATGCGATCCACTTCTACTCGTTCCTTCTCCACACTACAGCGAAAGGCAATCACCACCTCACCTGATTCAATAGCGGTTGCCTTGGGAAGTTCTGCGGACCACTCGAACCACTCCTTCACACCCGAATGTTCAATGGTGGGGATCATGGCACTGGGACTAGGCAAATAATGTCGATTGACCACGACAATTTGATGCGTTCTATATTTTTTGAAGAAGGATCCAGCAGAGAAATTGGCAACCAGTGTGTATTCGACAAAGGCATGCTTGGTGCGACATGAAGCAGGTAAATGTGAGGGTAAATGAAGTCCAAACTCAATTGATTGCTCACCGGAAAAGATTAATTCCTTCTCGACTTCACATATGGGGACAGTGGTCTGAATGCGTGTAGTGGATTCATCCATAAGTGAGCTGTTGTCTCGTGGGAAGATGGAACCCGGTGCTTCAATATCAATGCCTGCTTTTCCTAAGAATTGCAAGGTCACTCTGTTCCATTTGATCTTACGATCCTGAAATACGACGGTCCCCATGAGTTTGGTACGAATATGTGCCATTGGATTATCACGCGTGGCCGGTCCAATAAAGTAAACAGGCGCATCGCTGACCTGTAAAATGACTGGCAAATGTTTAGTTGCATCTACAGACGATGTAAATCGTTTCATTGAGTCTCTGAGTTATATAAAAAGAAATTTAAGAGAAAGAGAGAGAGAGAGAGAGAGAGACGATTGATTCGTGCGATTTTTTTATTTTATTTTATTTTTTAACGAAAAAAGTGTGTGACAGTGATCATGAAATAAAATCACAAGTTATATGATGAATTAGTCAAGCCAAATGACATTTTTATTCCACTTTTGGAAAATTGTTATAAAACAGTGAATTGTGATAGAAAGTTTTATTAAGATTATTCAAACAAGTGTTAAAGTTGAGAAAACACTGTCAGAGGAAAAAGGAAGAAAAAGAATGGAATAAGGGAATAAAATATGGAGGGGAAAAATGTAATTTTGGTATGTTGAATGCTTTTTACAAGAAGGGAAAGAAATAAAAATAAAAATTAATAGAGAATACGAGTTTGAATGTTGGCTCGTGTGGCAATAATGGCACTGTAAAGACTCTTGAGGTCAGTTACATCAGCAATATCTGCCATGACATAGGCAATATCTCCCTTGGAATCAGAATATTGCTTTTCAACATTATGGTCAGCAAAGATTTCATTGATTTCCTACACATTTTTTTAGCTCTCTACTACTAGGATATATCATATAAAAATATTGTTGTTATACCCGAAGTACACCAGGGATATTTTGATGTATATAAAGCACACGCACAGTATTCTTGTCATCTTCGCGAATAGCACGTAAATCAACTTCAGGGAAATTGACGGCATTTAGTGATGTACCATCGTTGATATACTTGATTAAAGATTGAGACACCTCTAAACCAATCATACTTTGAGCTTCTTCAGTCGAACCTCCGATATGAGGCGTTAAAATCAAGTTGGGACAAGCTAATAACTCTGGGTAATAATCAAAGTGAGGACCGTTAGCAGCAGGCTCCTTAGGGAAAACATCAACAGCAGCACCAGCAAGATGACCGGATTGAAGACCTTTGGTGAGAGCGGGAATATTAACCACGGTTCCACGAGCATTATTAAGTAAATAAGCCCCTTTCTTCATTTGGTTGATTTCGTGTTCACCAATCATACTCTTTGTTTCTTCGGTCTCAGGGACATGCACAGACACATAATCCGAAATCGCTAATAAATCGTCCAAGGACTCCAAGGGTTTAGCTTGACCGAGAGGCATGATTTGAAGTACGTCATAAAAGTAAACGGTCATACCCATTGCTTCAGCCAAGACGGATAATTGTGCTCCGATATGACCGTAACCGATAATACCCAAGACTTTACCACGAATTTCATAACAGGCTTTGGAGACCTTGTTCCAGACACCTCCATGCATTTCTGTATTACGATCACCCAACTGGCGAGCAAGCATAATGATTTCACCAATCACAAGTTCGGCTACGGAACGGGAATTACTGAAGGGAGAATTAAAGACAGCTACACCTTGCTTAGCAGCAGCTTGAAGGTCCACTTGGTTAGTACCAATACAGAAACAACCGATAGCTAACAAATGTTTGGCCTGATCAAGGACAGCTTTCGTCAGTTTAGTCTTGGAACGAATACCAATGACATGTGCATCACGAATCTTTTCGATTAATTCTTCACCCACAAGTGCTTTTGAATACGTCTCTACCTACAGCGCGAATAATTTTTTTTTTTTTTTTAGTTTTTTTATATATAAAGATATCTACACTTTTTTTATTTACTTGGTAGCCTTGCTTTTTAAAGGCCTTGACAGCAGTTTCGTTGACGTTCTCTAATAACAAAATCTTGACTTCACTGGTATTGAAAGGGCGAAGAACTTTGGCCTTGTTTTGGTTGAAAGAACCGGAACGTGCACGTTGTTCGGTTTTAGCTTCTGTTGCGTTAACCATGTTTTATTTATTTATATATAAAAAAAAAAATTGTTTAAAGTACAGAAAAAAGGTTTACCTGTCCCTGGATTTTTATATTTTATATTTTGATTGTATAATTTGCGAGTCATTTTTAGTCTCAGATGAGATTCATCTGGGACAACCACAGATGAACACGATTTTATAGCAGTCACACAACCCAACTATTGCATAATTCTTTTTCTTCATACCCTCTATAAAAAGGGGGGGGGGACCATAAAAATAAACTATTATAAAAAAAAGACATGTAACGGTTGGTCATCTGCAATTTTTATTTTATATATATATACTAGAAAAAAGTAGAGTGATTTGTCACTAGTGTGCCATCTTTTTTCACTTGTGTCATCTTTCATCTCCTTTTTTTACATCTTTTTAATCAGTATAAACATTAGATTAGATATGTCATTAAGATTCACGTTTCAAGATTTTGCAGGTTCGGCATCAATTTTTCCTCGGATAAAATAGATGAGCTTTGACCAACAAAAGGGAATCTCGGTAAAAGGAAATCCGGGAGTGAGTTAAATATTTTTTATAATAACCCTCCCCTTTCGAGGCATTTTTTTTTTTATGTAGTAGGGAAATGATGCATACCGCAAGCATAGCTTCTAAAAGGGAAAAAGATGCAGGTTACTGGCCACAAGGTGACCTGTATTGCGCAATCAGAGTACATATTCGCACTTTATTTTTAAAGTTCAGACTTGCATGCTTGTTTGACTCCCCTCTATGTGTACATGAACGCAGAAAAAAAAAAAGTGGTATATGGGAATATTATCATCAGCCAATGAAGAGGTACAAGGGCTAAAATGAAACAATCGGAGGACGAAAGAAGACTCCATTGGATATTAAAAAAAGAAACAAAATGACTACTGACTTTTGTACACACTCTCTCTTTCTCTTTTTTTTTTTTTTTTCTATCATGCCGAATAAGTCAAGAAGAGACAACGATTGTTTATTTTCTAAAAATGCACACACAATTTAGATTATTTCAATGTGTAAAAAATAAACAGAAAAAGATTTTCTGTTACACACAGATAAGTAATGGATCATCCATTGGTCCTTCAACATCGTTTCTTATAATAAATATAATTTTCTCGCGCGGGAAGAATTAAAAAAAAAAAAAAAAGCTTTTTTATTGAATGGGCGCTCGACAATGATTCCCAGCTTGATTAACAAAAAAGAAACCATGTCTTGGGATTCTAAGCATGTATGACAGAAAAAAAGGAGTTTATTTCCGAGGGATTACGTAATCAAGTCACTAGCCTAAATTTATTTCCATCGTACCCATGGCAACCTTTTTTAAGATTAAAAATGGTAGAAAGTTGGGGAAAAAGCTGACATAAGTTGTATGACGATCTTTTTCTCCCATTTCTCCCGAAACGTCTCAATTTTCTCCATGTTTGACATAAAAGATAGAAATAAAAAAAAATAAAAAATATGGAGGCGTATCGGGACTTGAACCATTTATTGCGCGACAGCACGTTTTCGAGTGGATAAAAAAAAAAAAAAAAAAGAAAAAAAGATCGATTATAATCAACGCATAAAAAAAAAAAAAAAAAGATGATTGTTAAATAATTTTTTACCTGGGAATTCTAACCCTCGTGTATGTAAAGAAAGAAGTCTTTTTTACGATGATTCTTTTTTTAGATTTTTTTATGAAAAAAAAAAAAAAATTAATAAATTATATTGATTGCTTCTTGAACGGCTTTCAACAAGATGTAACACACATCTGTATTAATTATTTTTATTTACTTTTTTAAAAAGACACTTTTTCGATTCGAACGCTGTTGGGCATCACATGAAAAAAAAAACAAAAAAAAAAAAAAAAAAAGATGTGGATTACAGCTCAGAACATCTATATAGCGGGAAGATGTGTAGCGATAGGAGCAAAAGGGAGGAGGATAAAAAAAAAAAAAAAAAAAAGGGAGTTTTTTTATGTTGGCAAAAAGGAAATAATTGACTAAAAACGGGATTTTAAGTACCTGCTGCTTTGCAAAAAGACTTGGAATCGAATGATAATTGGATTATTTTGTGTGTGTGTTGTTTTGTCTATAATTGTTTCTTTTTTTCTTTCTTTCTTTCTTTTCTTTTTTTCTTTTACTCTTCTTTTTTTTTTAATTTTATTTTTAGGTCTCTCTTTTTTCTTTTTTCGATCTTTTTTATCTCGGGATAAAAACTGTCAATGAATACAGAGAAAAAGCTAGCGATAGAAAAAAGAGCAAATAAACGCTTAAAAGTCGGTCGTGCATGCTATACCTGTCGCGCCAAGAAAATTAAAGTAAATAAAACCTTTCTGTAAGCAATTCATCTAGTAGATTTCCTTATCTTTTCTTTTTTTTTACCCTTTACTCCTAGTGCGATGGTTTACGTCCATGTATGCAGGTACTTTTTTTTTATATTTTATTTTCTAAATATCGTTATCTAACTTGTTGCTTTTCTAGTGTAAAGGTAATACTTTTATATCTGTATATAAATATATAAAAAAGTATTTATTCTAATTTTTATATTTTCCCCTCGTTTTAAAAAAAAAAAAGCTCGCCAAAGACCGTGCTCTTTTTATAAAGACGGGTCTCTAGAAACAGAACCTACTCTAGAAGAACCCTCCATCGAACAAACTGAAGAAGAACCACTCATGAACGAACCTAGCACACCCACGACACGACCAACCACGGCTGATGGCACCATTCTCTTTGCAGAAACATCCACCGTCAATCATAACAAACTGAAACGACGCGGACCATTAATGGAATCACGCATCAGTAATACCTTGAGCGCCTTGGGTGAAAGCATGCGAAAGATGACAACCAACACGACCAGTGGTAGTCGACTTGCTGAGAAATTATTAAAATCGTCTGACGCTTATGGAGGATTTATTATGTGGATGCCCGAACCTTCTTTACCCAGTCGTTATTCAGGTTCAATCGAAATGCCTTCGCGTGATATACAACTCGCTCTTATCGATCAATACTTTAACGAACGACATGAAAGTATCGGCATGATGATCAAATATTATTTCTATGAACAATTAGAGTCCAAAGGTCTGTTGATCACGCCTTTATTGTTAAACGTGATTTATGCACACGCTTCGAGATTTGTTACATTGCCTGGATGTCCCAAAACTGAAGTCTTTTATCATCGCGCCCGTCGTCTCGTGGACGATTTTATGGATGTACCTCGTGTCAGTACCATCGTGGCACTTTGTCTGCTTAGCTTGTACGAGCCTAGTCCTGCTATCTATCGTCCTGGATCACACCACTGTAGACAATGGCAATATTCAGGCATGGCCTGTCGCATGAGTCTCGAATTAGGATTGTACGATGATAGTAATGTCCATACCAGTCTAAGTCAGGTCGAAATCGAATTAAGGCGTCGTGTCTTTTGGGGTTGCTATGACCTTGACAAGTTTCAGAGTAGCGGATGGGAACGTCCCTGGATGATTTCTCGCTCTTGTATTCGAACTCAATTACCCTCGGTTTTACCTCAAGAGTCTGAAGAAGATGCCTATGTCACTCAAGTCTACAACGCAAAGCTTAGTTTTGTGAATATCGTGGAAGATAACTTGATACTCTTTAGCTCCTATGGCAACGATCCTTATCTGGTAGGCACTCAAAAGGACACGAGACAGGTCAAGATTAACGAAAATCTCACGAAACACCAAGTCTGGTTACGATCATTGGAAGCCAATATGCAGTGGACACCCATCACCAGTATCTCTGTAAAAGAAGTCCTGGAGATCCCCGCTGCGAGACCCATGGTCAACCACCTTCACCTGTACTATAATTCATTGACATTGGATTTACTGGGCAAACTAACGAATAACTCGGTAGCTCAATTCCAATCTCGTGTGACGGCCGCTAGTATGACTCAATTAGCGCACCATCTATGTCAAACACCATCGTTTGTTGTCAAGTTTGATTTTATTGTACATGCCTTGATTGCAGCCATCAAGATTCATATTCACTATTTAGATGATACCGATGTTCATCTGGCACAGCAGGCCTGGCTCTTATTTGATCGGTCTATCTGGTGTATGCAACTCATTAATAGCTATGCAGTCATTCCTAATTGTTTGAAATTCTTGCAACAAGTACAAAATATTTATGGCCTGCATATGTCGTCCGATACAAACTATAGTAGCTCATGTTCTCCTTCGCCTAAACTTAAAGGAATTATCGAACGTGATTCACCTCAACAACAACAAGCGACATTATCACCTCTTCTTCAACAGCAACAGCAACAGCAACAGCAGCAGCAGCAACAGCAGCAGCAGCAACAGCAACAGCAACAGCAACATCAGCAGCAACAACAACAGCAACAGCAACAACAACAGCAACAACAACAACAACAACAACAACAAAAGACGCAGCATGTAGCAAACACGACCAACTCGTTTCCCGACAATCTGGACCAGATTTTGACGGATTGGCCTAGTGCGGGAGAAGAAACTAACGCGCGCCATGAAATGGTCTATTTAAATACGCATAACACACCATTGCATTCTCACTACCCATCATTTAATAACAATGTTAATATTTCCCCACACGCGACTAGAACACAAGCACCACCACCACCACCACTTCCGCAACAACAAGAGCATGCATATACAGCCAATACATACACTTCATCTTCGTCGTCCAACGGTCAGCAACAACAGAGGTTGTGGGACCGTTATAAACCCAATTTACCTTATGACCGCGACATTGTGGTACCCAGTCAATTAAATGAGGACAATGTAGATCCACCCATGTACGGAGGTGGTAACACAACATTTACAAATTCCGAGGATTCCATTTGGCAACCTACCAGTAGTGAAGAAAATGGTAAGAAAAAAAAAATTATGCAAAGAGAGAGGTTGGGGCAAAACTTTTAAGAGTGGGGAAATGTAACCTTTTCCTTTAATAGAAGGTGATACACGTAGTAGAGGGTTAGATATTTATATGTCATCCAGGCAACATTATGAAGATATGATTAAAGGTCCACCAACGCCACAATAGCCTTTTATATATATATATTTATGAATTTTTATTTATTTATTTATTTATGCTTTTTTTTTTTTTTTATTTAATTTTTTTTTTTTATACACGCTTTTTTTTTTTACACTTTCTTTTTTTTTTTTTTTTTATTTTTTTTTTTTATTATGTATATATATATGCTTTGCTTCTCTTTTTTTTTTAAAAAAAAAATATTATGTTTAAAATATACAGTTTTTATTTATTATAGTTGAAATGTTTTTTTTTTGTTACTCTAATATTTATATGAATTTAAGCAGAACCAATGTAACCATCCTTTTCAAGCAACAAGACGATTTCATGCACAGCTTGAGAGACGGATTGTTGAGTAATGTCAACGGTAAGATCAGCATTTGTGGGTACTTCATAAGGAGCATCCAAACCAGTGAATTCCTTAATCTCACCACGCTTTGCGCGTTCATAGATACCATCACGATCACGCTTGATACATTCTTCCAAGGGAGTAGCGACATGCACAAGATAGAAACCACCGAATTGTTCAATGGTCTTTTTAGCGGCATCACGTGCACCGGCATAAGGGGCAATGGGTGCCACAATGGCAGCAGCACCAGCACGCGTCAACTCACCGGCCACAAAGGCTTGACGGGCAATATTGATATCTCTGTCACGCTTCGAGAATCCCAACTCCGATGATAATTCGGCACGGGTATTTTCACTTGCCAATAAAGAGACAGAACGCGTACTTTCTTGGTTTAAGGAAACTTGTAAAGCGCGAGCAATGGCGTTCTTACCGGAAGCATGAAGACCTGTGAAAAAGATGGTGAAACCTTGTTGGTTACGAGGAGGATGAGATTGACGCAAGACCTGCACGACTTCAGGGTAAGAGAACCATTCGGGGATGGGTAAACCAGTCTTGAGACGACGACGTAACTCAGTACCAGAGATATTTAAAGTCTTGACACCCTCGGGGACCTCATCAGCGGGGATATATTCATCCGTATCAGGAGAGTAAGTCACCATTTGGAAGGGTACAATTTCAATACCAATCTCGCTCTTGTATTCCTCCACCAAGGTTTGAGCATCGTAAGGACCGTAGAAATCAACACCTTGAGAGTTCTTACCGGGTCCAGCATGATCACGACCCACAATGAAATGAGTCACACCATGGTTTTTACGGATCAAGGCGTGCCATACAGCTTCACGAGGTCCACCCATACGCATAGCCAAAGGCAATAAACTAAGTTCGGCCATACCGTTAGGGTACTTGGGCATCAAGGCCTTATAAACACGCACACGGGTATAATGATCAATATCTCCAGGCTTGGTCAATCCAACCACAGGATGAATAAGTAAATGGGCTTTACGTTGACGAGCAGCACGCACAGTTAATTCACGATGAGCACGATGCATAGGGTTACGGGTTTGGAAAGCAACAACACGGGTCCATTGAAGTTTTTTGAAATGAGCACGGAGTTCAGTAGGTGTGACTATAGGAAAATTCGTAACATATTTTTTTTAGCGACTTATTCCTTCATAATAATAATAAAAAAAAACCCCCCACACACATGATTTTTTTTACTTACATCGGTTGGCAACATAATCGTAGTGAGAAGGAGATTGAACAGCTTGAAGAGAACCACCAATGTTGAATTCCTTAGCAATGGTATGAAGATAATGAACAGCAGGATGAGCACTGTCATTGGCACCGTACACAAGTTCGGCCTCCTTGGCCTTGTTGGGCTTATATACATCCTCGACGGTCAAGATGGCTAAAGGAGTATGATCACGAGGATCTAACAAAGCAATACGCTTAGTGGGTTCAATCTTACTTTCCTCGATTTGTTCCTTGCTAACATCCAAGGTGATGGGAATAGTCCATAATAAACCATTGGCAAGACGCATCTTTTCAACAACACTATTTTTTTAGAGAGATAATTTTAATCTATCTGTCACTATGCAACGGGACTTCTTCTTATCATGTCAGAATATTTTACCCTTCATAATCCTTTTGGTTCAAGAAACCTTCGAGAGGAGAGAAACCACCGTTCAAGATTAATTCGAGATCACATAATTGACGGTCTGTCAAGACGACATTGGGTAAAGTAGCAGCTTCAAGGGCAAGAGATTCTTGCTTATCAGCGTCACGAAGATAAAGGTCCTTAAGGACACCACCATGAGGAGTATTAGCCATTTTTTTTAAATTAATAAATGTAGAAGAGGGGGAAAAAAAAAAAGATGAATAAACAAAATTATTAGAAAATCTCTAAGTTTTTATATATAACCAAAAAAAAAAAAAGATTGACTTATAAAGCGTCTTGCTGATGTAGCGACTCAGGGACATGATGGCGCAATTGAATTACGTCCAATAAAAAAACAAGAGATAAAATTCGCAAAATCTCAATCCACTCTCTTATTGGCTAAAGAATGTATAGCGTCTTTTGACAAATACATTAGATGGATGGCGGAACCCCATCAAAATTGGCTGAATTGGGAAAACACACGTCACGATACAAGCGTACGTCTCTCTCTCTCATTTTTTTTTTTTGGTTTCTTTTAAAAAAAAAGACATTATGGAACAACAAGTTTTATCAGCTGCATTCCCCATACTCATTTTAGGCTTGGGTTGGACAGGCCAATTTTTGGCTGAGCTTCTTGTTTCTTTACAGTTAAATTATGCCGCAACCACGAGAGACGGTCGAAATAATACAATTGCTTGGAATTTACCTTCCGATGCAAAAGACATGGATGTCAGCCCTTTACCGTTTGCACAAACTGTCTTGGTCACCTTTCCAGTAATGCAACCCGAATGTATGACAGCCTTAATGGATGCCTATCAAAAACAACATAATCAAACCTCGCAATGGATCCTACTTTCTTCCACGCGTCCCTTCAAGGGAGATCCAGCCACTCGACATACACCGTTAGACCGAACCAAGGACACGGGTCGCATGGGAGCGGAAGATGTGATTTTGGAGCGTGGAGGAAGTGTGCTTCACCTTGCTGGATTATGGGGTGACCAAAGGTAAATACACACATATATATATATATATAAAAAGGGTCTCCATTTTCTTTATGATTTATGATTGTAACTTTGGTTAAGAAAAGATTACCAAAGAATTGGGTTCCTCGATTTGCTACAACGGAAGCGATCCGAAACAAATTATTAAACCGTCAACTTCATTTGATTCATGGTAAGGATGTGGCTAGAAGTATTGTTGCTGTGCATGAAAATTTCAGGCCTGGTGAGCGTTGGATTGTGACGGACAATGGATGTTACGATTGGATTCGTTTATTCTTGGCTTGGGGTAACACGGAACAAATCGTCATCGCACGCGATTTGGCACAGCATGACGAGACATGTCACAAAGCATTAGGTGAAGGTACATTAGAGGATATCGTGCGTTGTGGAGGTGTCAAGCCAAAATTGGATTCAACAGAGTTTTGGGATACCTTTCAATTACAACCTACCGAGTATTTAAAGATTGAATAAAATATCTATTTTTTTTTTTTTTTATAATCACGTATAAAACAAGAAATAACATCTCTACATGTAAATCAATTGGTATTTTGCCCGCGCTTTGAAAGTATGAGGAGTCTTACCGTAAACAGTAATTTGCTATTAACAGTTTTTCTTCGAAATCGGCGTCTTAATCCTAAAAAAGATTTTTTTTTTTTTTACCCCCCTCTTTAATGCGTTGTTTGTTGGGAAGCCCCCTTCTCTCTCTCTCTCTCTCTCTTTGTTTTTTTTTTCATTAAAAACAAAAAAAAATTAAAGACAGCCTTACAATATGGATTTCATGTGGGCTGGTGATATTCCCAATAACCGTAAACATAGCTCGTATTTACCTACAGCTAATACCACGCATATGAGGTAAAGCACACAATTAAAAAGTTGAGTGTTTGACAATTTAGTAATTTTTTTTTTTTTTTTTTTTTTTTTTACGTAGTGAAAATTCAGCACATGCGCGTTTAAATTTGACTCCTCCCGTCGTGCGACGTTCTCGAGCAGATACAATGCCAAGCACAAGTCCTTTTAACTTGTATAGTCCCTTAAATGTGGTTGCTCAACAAAGACCCGATCGCAGTAGCCTGACAAACGATCTCTTGTTTCATTCAGCCATGTCAAGTCCTTTGGATGAAAACGCATCCGACTCCATCGCAAGTACTTTAGCTTCTTTAGGTCTTAACACTACCGAAGACCACGATACCCACCACCACCACCACCTTCAGCAGCAGCAGCAGCAACAGCAAGAACATGTCCAAAGAAGAGAATATTTTGAGCCACGTAACCCATCTAATAACAACAATAACCATGAAATGATGTCATTCTCTCCATTTCATACTATCACCAAAAGACCACGTGCCATTAGTCTAGGCATGGTCGATTCTTCGGCCTTCTCTCCCTTTGACATGCCCTTTCAACATCAACCGCAGGAACCTTCACCACCTGTCATCGGAAAGGAAAAAGAGTATCCATCGCGTTTACTCTTTTCAAGAATGGATGCTCATGAAGAAGAAGAAGTGGATTTTGGAACTCCCGAAGATGATACCGATACCGATACGCAAACACCTTCCCGTGCACTTTGGCTAGGTAACATCAATCCATCCTTGAGTGTCCCCGATCTTCACAAGATGTTTGGTCGTTACGGTCGTGTCGAAAGTGCTCGTATCTTGTCAGACAAAGAATGTGCCTTTGTCAACTTCGAATCCGTCGAATCCGCCTTGGCTGCTAAAGAGGATTTGGTCAATCGATTAGGTTGTATGGTAGCAGGCTCTGTCGTCAAAGTAGGGTTTGGTAAAGCAGACGTCAATGTAGCGATGGCCTTAACCAATGAAGCTGGTCCCAACGCTCAGGGTCCCACCCGTGCTCTTTGGGTAGGCAATATCCCGGCCAACATCAATCCTTCCGTCCTCAGATCGCTCTTTCAATCCTTTGGCGTCATTGAATCCATCCGTATCTTGTCACATAAGAATTGCGGGTTTGTCAATTTCGAAAGACAGGAAGATGCCGTGCGTGCTCGTAAATCATTACAGAATAAGGAAATCTTGGGCTTGGGATCAGGTACGGTACGTATTGGCTTTGCAAAGGCACCTACCAATAATCCAGATGAGGTGATTCAAGATGTGGTCATTTCCGGAAATACAATCACCTCGTATCCTACCCCCAATACCATCGCTGCCGCAGCGGCAGCATCTCATCATGTCAGTACCATGCATACTCAGCCGGTTGTCGCAGAACAGGAAGAGACAACGCAATGGGCTACAGTCATCATGATGGCCAGTATGATGATGAACGCCTCTCAACAAAAAGATGGGTCTCCTGTACCTTCACCATCATCTTCTACCACTAGCTCATCAACAAACCGTCGCTTAGCAACCGAACGTAAATTAATTATGCAACAATTAGGTTATACTAGCAAAGATGAAGGTAAACCCAACTCTTTTTTTTTTTTTTTTTTCGGTTAATTAATTTTTTCTTTATCTAGTGGAGCGGATTCCAATCACCTATTTCTCAACAATTCCTCCTGTACCCGAATTCGGCACGGAACGTATGCTTGGACCATTAAGATTGCGTGAGATTCGAAAATTGCTGGATAATGGACAAGGTATTCATGAACATATTGCACAAGAATGTATGGATGAGATTGTTGAGCTTTGTAGTGGTAACGTATGCACTTGATGAATATAAAAATAGACCAGCCCCAATTAAAAAAAAAAAATTCTGCCTCCCCCCCCCCCTCTTTTTTTTTTTTTTTTTTTTTTTAGATTATATTGGCAATACGGTTGTTCAAAAACTATTTGAATTTTGCTCTGAAGAAACGAAATTAGTGATGATTGAAAAGATTGCACCCTATTTAGCGTCGATTGGTATTCATAAGAATGGTACATGGGCTGCGCAAAAGATGATTGACACAGCCACGACGGAGGATCAAATTCGATTGATTTGCACAAACATTGCACCTTACGTGCCCTTATTATTATTAGACCAGTTTGGAAATTACGTGGTCCAATGTTGTCTTCGTATGGGTCCCGTTCGAAACGGATATATTTTTGATGCCATTGTTCATAAATGTTGGGAAATCGGTCAAGGTCGGTTTGGTGCACGCGCTGTAAGAGCCATTTTAGAGAATCCAATTGTCACCAAAGACCAACAGGTAATCTTTTTGTTCTTTCTTTTTTTTTTTTTTTTCTTGTGATATTAAACATTATCCCGCCGATAGATTTATGTGGCTGCTGCCATTATGCAAAATGCATTACTGTTGACGACAAATGCAAATGGCTCCATTTTGTTAAATTGGCTACTTGATACCTCTGGATTATTAGGCCACTTCCGGGCCTTGTGTAATACGAACAATTAAAAAAAAAATTTATATATTTCCCCCCCTTCTCCATATCTACACACACACACCTCATCTATTAGATTGTACACATTGAAAAAAAAATAACTCCCCCCCTTCTATATATTGTGCTTACCACCCACTCTCAATTTGAAAAACATCGTCACTCAATCTTTTGACACTTGTATAAACCTAAAATCTCTCCCCCCCCCCACACACACCCAGCAATTTTAAAATAAATGTTTCTTTAAAGATTAAAGCCAGGTTTAAATTTTCATTTTTACTTTTTTTTTAAGAAAATCGGGCGTTTTCTCGTCTCCATGAAATAAAATATAACACTGAATACTTGGTTTCTATGCCATTGATTTTTTTTATATATATCGTACAGGCAAATTTAGATATTGCGAGTTTAATTGTTAATAGTATGCCTATTACAGTACGTTGATAATCCATGATATTGTACTGTCGATGTTTTGTTCCTTCTTCATGACGTTGCAAGCCAACGGTGCGGGGAATTTGGGTGTAATTTATTGGGGTGTAATGTTCGGTTAAATATATATTCCATGGGGTGTAATACGTAACTAATGACTCGGCTATCCCAGAATGCACCTTTAAACAAACTTTCACTCATCCTTCTGCAGAAGCTTTATCGGTATCACTTGAAAAAAAAAACTGCATCCTCTGCAGAGCATACCTTTGCTTCTGGTCAATATTTAGACAATGAGCGTGGCACCGTGTTTAAGTGTAAACACGCCTGTATGTTTGTAGGGTGTACAGGCACAGTCGCTTCCCAGAAAACTGTAAGCTTGCAATAGTTCATGCCCTCTTTGGTTTTTAAATAAAAGCAAGTGGCTTTTTTATTGCTTCTGATACCATCTTAGTCCGGCATTTTACAAATACCCGAAAGAGTAAACTAAAAGATGCAAAATCGCGATTACTCGTCCTCGTAGAATGGCTCCCACTTTTTCACTATCCATTACAAGAATATTGGGTGCATTCCCTTGTCTTGTTGGAATAGAAAATATTAAAAAGGCTGGTTTATGTCACCTGTCGGATAGCCAAAAAGTCAAAGACATTTTTAAAAACTGCATAAAATATTGTCTTATTGCTTGGTACAAAACTTTAAAATCTTACAAGAAAAAACCATACATTCTTTTAGAATTTAAAAGACTTGAAATGTTTTAGTTCACAAAATACTATTTTAATTTTTTTTCAAGTTTAATACGTTGTAGTTGTAATCATAGCAATCATAATGCAATCATTAAAAACTTGAAGCAAAATTAAGAACTTTTCATAATGATTTTATTGACCGTTCAGCATGTTTTATTTTCGGAAAAACCAAAATATCGAGAACTACACTCCAAATAAATTACACGCTTTTTACCCACACACCTACAGTAATAATCAGATATCGTTGTATACACTGATTTCAACAAGTACACATACCCTGTCTCCTATCACAATTGTTAGAAATCAAGTGTTTCCGATTTAATAAAAAAAAAAAAAGTATATCAAAAAGGCAATGAAACAATAGGTACGATTCTAATTCCTTGTCACTTTACTTAACCAAGGCTTTAATTATGAAATAATGTGGTCTATTTATACTCTTTTGGAAGCAGACTGTGATTAGAATTGCAAGTCCATAAATTTATCTTGACTGTTGAACTCTACATGAATGCAAGGGCACGTTGTCGCTGACAGGTTGCTCTAATGACTTCTAATAGTATTTTCTATCGGCTCTTCCATTGTACATAATGTGTCAAAATTCCAAATTAGGAGATTTTATTTCATTTTGTGATGATTTTATCGTCTGTGCGTTTAGCACAACAATGCCGAAGGGGATTCAGTTGAAAAGGTTACATCTAAAAAAAAAAGCCTACAAGAACTACTCGACCTGTTTGTTTATATTTATTTTTTCTGTATCAAGCCATGTTTCTCCAAAATGTTCAAATCAAACTCATTTACGCTGTATTATGTTCAATTTAGTATATTTGATAACTTTTTTTTTTTCGTTATATTCTTAGTACAAACATTAGGGATTTCAAGTGATTTTTAAGTTTCAAATTTGAAGTTTTTTTTATCAATAAACATTAGCAGAAATATATATATATATATATATATATTTATTAAAACTTAAAGATAGAATATCATTGGGAGAGGACTCAGAATTGATATTATATGTTACTGAGATACGACTTGGTCAGTTTATTATGCTTCTTGACTTACAAAAGCCTAAGTCTATTGAAAGCTTTGATATTTCTTTGTTTGTCTGAGCAAAGAGGCATGATAAATGTAAAAAGAATGGTGATAAAAAAAGGAAAAAAAAAGAAAAAAAAAAAAGGATATAGTATAATTATGGTATGCATTATAGGCCTTACATAACATCTTGAAATATTACGATAAATTATTGGACGATTTAAAAACCTTGATTGAATGTTAATTTTCTTGACGCTCCTTTCGTGTCAAGAATCAAGAAAAAAAATTCAAGAAAAATGTAGCGAATAGATTTTATAAAAGGAACTTGATATTTGGAACTTGAAACTTAAATGTCACCTGAGCCTCATGTTAGTCCGAATATTACATTTTTATAGTTTGATAATTAACTTACCAATCTCCATGCTTGAGCCCAGTACTTTTTTTTTTTTTTTTTTTTGGCAATCAGATGGTTTCAAAATAGCTTACAAACGTGCTATTATTCTTTTCGCGTACATCTTTAAATGAAGACCAAATTTTGTCGAATTCGTCTTTGGATTTTGCGTTTAAAAGAGATTTTAATTTTGCTCTGAATGTGTTCTGAATATTCTTCGTATCATTTGTTGCCTGGGAAACCTGAATTCACAAAAAAAAAAAAAAGGCTTCAATTAGTGTATCATTCTCAATGACTTTTTATGAAATCACAATTTACCTGCTTGATGTGGTTTGCCCAATTTTTTTTTTGAACATGCCAATGGCATAACAAAATAGAAGCGCTGCAGCCAAAAACTGTTTCGATTGCATTTTGTTCACTGGGACTACAATCTATCAATATTCTTTCTACGATCAACTTGTTGTTTCCCTTCAACCATCTTAACCATTGAGTTAATGTATAAGGAGACTCTTCACTGGTGATTAAACATGCGGCAGGTACATCTTTGTTAGTGGTAGCGTTACGCACAACAACGGTGAACAAGTAACAATCATGGACTTTATTCATGAAGGACTTGTATGTCTTGTGTGTTAAATTTAAGCACCATTTATGTAAGGATTCTAAGAGCTAAAATAAAGTTTTAAAATATAATGATAGATCTTAAACAAACAGTTAAAGAATATGTACCTCCTTTTGTCAAGAGGAGACCCAAGCTGCCATTATATGCCCGCCTTCTTGATCGAAATGCAAAAATGTCTGATGATATGTACCTCTCATCTCGCTTGGTTTTTCTCTCTTTAAAAGGAACGCTTGATGATTAGATTGGGAATGATGGGTGTCTCTTTAAGCATTTAGTAGGTGCCAATAATAGAAAAGAATTTGAACTTTTCCAATAAAGAAAAAAAAAACTTTGCTTCGTTTATTTTGTCATCGTCCTTCTCAGCATCATATTCGTCATCAGACTTGTGAATATTATTGTTGGGTGCGATTTCAGTGTCCGAGCTGATGGTTATAACCGTCTTTAGTTGGCAACTATCCAGCTCTTAGATTCGTCTTAAGCTACGGTAAATTTATTGGTATCCAATTTGAAAATTACAGCTGCAGCATTAAAATTAAAAGTTCCCTTAAATAGATAAAGTGCAGACCTCCTATTGTTTGTGTTCACTTTTTAAAATTGCTTACTAAAGCATTTGACAGAAATATATATGTACATAAAAAAAAATGTTATCTAAACAAATGTTGAGACATCGTCACATGGCTAGAAAATATAACATCCCCGAGTGTAAAATACACAGTAGCTTCAAGCATGTGGTATTAGCACAAGAAAAGCTTCATTTCGATATTGACATTGCGCTAGTACATCGGGGCCCAAAAATCTGTGTAGAGCCAGCTAATCGGCCATAAAGTGTCATCGGTGTAAACATATCCCCAATAATCATAATTATTTGTTTTTTTTTTATTGGTAATATGTAAACTAGAACGTAAAAAAACCCAAAATAATACAGGAAATCACATTTCGACTGTTGGCATCACAATAATCATATACACTTCAAACGAGGCTTTTGGTCACATCTCACTGGTTCATTATAAATGTATTTTTCCGTTTTTTTTAAAAAAAAATCCATGTTAGCATTGGCATCCCCCATCTTATCCTCTACTCAACGGTTGTATATGATTATCTTATTTTTATCCATGCAATCCCAGAGTCATTCGTGCAATTAATCTTAGAACCAGGGCAAGCTGTCATCATTTACACTATCCGTTCACTCAAGCTACATCAATGCTTTTCTTCTGATCCAGTTTAGTTCTTCAGCTTTGCTGTTAGGGTTATTGCTGCATTGCCTAATTCTGTTGTCATAAATACTAAAATATACACGAAAAAAAAACAGTGTCGATGACTTGCACTGAAGGATCAATGTCGATACTTGAAAGTGTGTTGTATTCTGGTGTGAGACCCTGCCTAATCGCTACAATTTTTTGCTTGTACCATGTGTTTTATCAGCAAGCGAGTCTTCGTATTCTCAAAAATAGGTATCGCAGGCAACTTTTTTTCTTCTTCTGCCAGTAAAGCTTTTGTAGACACGGCTAATTAAAACGTAAGCATCATATAAAAATGTAAAAAGAAGATACCCTACCTAGATTATTTCTGCAACGCGCTATAAATACATGTCGATGCGTATTTACTGGATTGCTCAATTTTTATACTATAAAAGTACTACAACCCGATAATTCCTGTCTTCGGCTATGGTTCAGTCGGCCCTAAAATTGTTTGCTTGTTTTAAATTAGTAAGTCCTTCTAACATGGATGCATTTGGTCATCGTATAAAAAGTGGGTTGCTCGTGGTTGTTGGTAACAAAAATGAGAGAGAAAAAAAAGAGCTTTCCATGATTTCAGCAGGCTGTGTAATACCCTGTGAACCTGGGGTGCGCGTTGACACTGCCCTTTTTCTTATTTTATTCTTTGCCACAAACACGCAACCAATGCTGTATTAAACTTTCCTCATGTCATGCCACCCTTGAACCTAGGTTACCAAGTAATTATTCAAACACGGGACTTGATATTTATTTTGTTTTAAGCTTTGCACTCAATCTATAAAGTTTTAAAACATTGACATCGCCAGCCAGCTACCAGCTACAAAGTTTTGTTTCGATCGAGACATGCTTTAAATCCGTAGCAGTGTGGCATGAATTTGAAATCGTCTTTTGTTGAATTTTTGGACAATCAGAACAGTGGATCAAAGCAGCGTGGTATTGGAATTACTCCCTTGAAAGTGAGATCAGAAAATGTCTAAGTGGAACAAATATTTATCCGTACAACCAGCAGATTCTCGTGATAGAGAACCCGTCCTTTGGGAAGAAAAACTGGACGTCACTTTGGAATTGACGATACGAATTGACGATAATTGCCATAGGCTATCCGCAGACGATAAAGGTGATGGGTTACAAAATTACACTGGGGATTATAGAGAATCGAACGTCGTCTTTTCTATTACAATAGTTATAATCGACAAAGGACAGCTGAAAGCAGCATTAAAGACAAAGTCAAAAAGTATTAGCCAGATCAAAAATACAGAAGTAAAAGCAAATAGTGGATCTGTGTTGCATAAAAACACAGTTTTTGGTGTACAAGGAAAAAGAGGTGTCTCGTGGATGATAGTAAAAATGTGTTAGAAAGATGATGGGGTATCAACATAAATAAAAGTCTACTGCTATTGTAAGTCTGTTTCACAATGTTTAGATAATTAATGGGAGTGGATATTTATTCCAGAATATAAAAGACTTGTGTGATGATTCTATGTGAAGATGGGACACTTATAGGGCACGAGGTAGATTATTTAATATATGGCATCTGAATGTGTACGGACAGCTCTTTCTTTACTAAAATCCAGCAATTGGCACGTCTTATTATCATCAGCTCAAGAGGGAGCAGGATTTATGTCTGCAAAAGAGGGGGGGAGGGGATTAGTTTTGTCTCTTTATATCAGGGCTGTACCTCTGCTCCGGTCTTGTGCTAAAGAGGAGTATATTTAATAGGGGACAGTCTATGCTTCTTCTTTCGACACTGGACCCATATTTCTTTATCCATTTGGAGAACTGTAGCGTTGGTCAAATGTTAAGCAAGTCTTTATTCTTACAAAGCAGAAATCTTTATTTACAAAATCTTACACTAAATGTTGTGTAGACAGCTACGTCCTTACTTTGCGAAGTTAGAAATATGAACTTCCTGTTTCTGTCGCAGCCGCTTTCATCTGGTCCTTCTAATATCAGCCATAAAAGTCTATACTCAATATTTTTTTTTTAAAAAAAAACAAAATAGAGAATGATCAATACCGTTCATAAAGAAATAATTCCTCTCTCTCGTATAAGTATAAAAATAAGTACCATATGGACAGACCTCATTCAATAACCCTTTTGCAAAACTTTTTTTGGTGAATATGAGTTATATACCAACAATCCAGCAATTTCGAATAATAAACTTGACGGATGTGAGCTGCCAACCAATAGAGACAATAATACTGATAGGGTACCATAAGAAATATAGTGTAGACCATTAAATCTTTAAGTAGCTGGAATTAATGTACCATCAGTAAGGAAAAGTTTTACTCATAACCGATCGTATCAAACATGTCTCACATTCATCTGTTATAAATAAGCAAGAATTATTAAATAATATACTGGTTGATTTTGTACACATAGTAGCATTTGAAACATGGATGATGTAGCATAGCACCAAACCATTTAAATCATCACTTAGAGCATCCCCCGCAGTAGCGCTTAAAAACGCTTAGCTTAAAATGCAGTTACATAAAAGTTCTAAATCACCTTTATCAACCGACCAGAAAAATTAAGTGTGCCTGAAAAAAAAAACTGAATATGATGGCTTTTTTTTACCCAATCTGGTTTCGTCGTTGTCATAATTGTTAATATTGACTATTTCCTTGAAGAGGAAAAGGAATCAATTTTTATTCGTCAAAGATCGACTTTTTTAACTTTTGAAATCCTTTATTTAGCGAAATATTAAAACTATTATTTTTCGCTTACATAACCGAAAAACGGATTCTAAGCGCCGTTGCTGGGGATGCTCTTAAAAATGTCCTTGTCCGCCTTTTTATTTTTATTTTTTTAAACCCCTCCCCCCTCCCCCAAAGCAGAAAAGCAAAAGGAAAATGTGAACGCAATGCGATATTGATCCTTTTACTTCGCACTTATTTTATAAACATACCAACTCTATTACGGTGGTTCAATATTTGAAGTAAAAAATAAAATAAAAACAAAGCAAATTGAATATTTCATTTATATTGATAATTTCGGCCCCCTTTTACTGTATCCATGGCAGGTTACTAGTGTTCGGAATGAAGATCGAAACTCTCGAGCGAGCTTCGATCGTGTTCCAGTCGAAGCTCGCTCGGATGCGTTTTTTTGCAGCTCGAGCTCGCTCGAAGTTTCTTAAGCTCGGCTCGGTTGCGAATACGATAGCTCGAACTCGCTCGTCCTTTTTATAACACAAAGTGCACGTCAAAGTGATGTTAATTACAGAAAATTATGATAATAAAATTGTTATTTATTGAAATAGAAGCTGGAAAAAGAAAAAGAAAACTTTTTTTTTCACCAGCCTTAACACCAAGTTCGGGTAATTAATCAAACTATTACTGCATCTATAATTATAATACATTTGGATTTGTGAACATAAAAGTTTTTATTAATTCTGCTACGTCATGTTACTATGGTTGCTGTTAAAAAAATTGGCTTAGTTGGGTATAGTGTGCAACACTGTTTCATTTTCTATGGTAAATGTGTTTGTTGGTTGTACAATTAAATAAAGGCCAAAGCATTTTAATTGGAATTATTAGAGCATAAATAAATAAAAAATGATAAAGGGAAGAAAAGATTAAAATCAAGGAGAAATGCCATCTGTAGTCTTTCAAGGACCTTAACTTTAAAGTGACTACTATCGACATTTTAGCCGAGCGAGCTTCGAGCGAGCATCGATCGAAGCTCGCTCGAACCCAAAAAAAGTGGCGCAAGCTCGAGTACGAAAACTCGGTTCGAGCTTCGTTCGAACTGGCGCAAGATCGGTGCAAGCTCGAAAAGTTCGAACACTACAGGTTACAAAATAAGCACCTTTTAACAAAGTGTAAAAATGTTGGTAATGTGGATTGTGCTGGATTTATCTTTAGGTGAATTTACCTTTTTAATAACTAGTCATGAAAAGGGACGTATATGCCTAAAAAAATATACATAATAGTAAACCCCATACAACAATATGCAATATGTATTGAATAATGCTTTTTTTAAAAAAAGCTACATTGTACAGAAAATTAGTGAAATAACAAACACGCAGGGAAGTAAGTAGTACACAAAACAGATATTGTCTGCCTGAGGCTATTCAAATTTTAAAAGTCATGCCAAGCCACCCGACTGGGCAAGCTGCATTCCACTCAAAGGGGACCAAAACTGGAAGAAAACCCAGTCGCGCAAAAGGCGACTCTCAAAAGAGTAAAAAAATCTGTGGGCCGGGAAAAGGCTGGATTGCAATGAAAAGAAGTGCAGTAAGGAATAAAAAAAATCTGAGGGGGGGGCAGAAAAAGGCTGGGTTGCAATTACAAGAAGGACAGTAAAGAGTAAAAGACCTGAGTACAATCTTCAAGCGTGAAAAGGCTGGGTTGCGTAACTCATTTCTCCTAAATTAGCAAGGCTTTACTCGTTGAACAAATCTCTTGAGCTTGTTACCAATTTTATAACCACTTACTTTTTTTTATATGCGTATACAAATGCGTTATCAGTACATAATGGATTCTATTAGATCACCAATAGCTTTTTTAGCATGTACTCAGAAACTCTTTTCATGACTAGCTGTATGAAGGTAATGTGACCATTTCTCCCTTTAAAATAAGTTCATCATTCACATCAGACCGTCCATCACAGACCCGAAATACTGAAAAGAAAAAATAAGGCACAATGATAGACGCAGGTACAGTGTCGTGATTGAGGCTATATACTTAATATATGACTCTATCTAAACTTCTTAAATCTTCCATTTGATAATCCTAAATATATTTCTTATAGATACTTTACATTAAATACTGATCATTTTCTTTATGTACAGGCTTGATCTCATATCATCCTTCATACAATTATAAGGCATACTCATTTAAAAAATAACATTAATTTGAAAACAGATGAAGGTTACATTAGCCACAATGAGGTGGCACAGCTACCTTTATTAAGAACTACAATTGCCCCTGAATATTGTGCTACAAGATATGCACAGTTTAAGGATGAATGTTATTGTTATTGTTATTGACATCTCATTATGGTCTTTCTTTACGGGATCATTACATCCGAGTACTATCTGGATAAATCTACCCACAATCGTCATCAGCCTGTATGTTATTAATGTCTGAAATTATGTGTATGTAAAGACCACCTTTTATTTGTTTAAATCTTTATCAATTTCCACATACAGCCACTTTCAAATTTCTGGGTCATTTAGGATCGGGTACCTTCTGGCTATCCCAAAGAGTTGGATTTTTTAAGAGGCCCTGTTACACGCACTGGAAATAAACCAAATGTAAATTTCTCATATGCTACTTGTCGGATTGTGTCAGTTATTCATAGTTGAGATAAGTCTTTTAAAACTATTTTATCAGACTCATGAAACCCCTCCTTCAAAGTTTTGTTCTTTTGGGTTTTGTGATACCTTTAAATTCCTGCTCAATGCCCAGTAACATAGTCAGACGCGTGCTTTTTTTTGTTTCCATTACTGCTTAAAAGAATAATTTCTGTACTGAGCTCGTAAACGTTCATTCTCGATAATTTGAGTATGAGAACCCCCCCCCTTCAATTTTTGGCGGTTCTTACTTTAATATAATAAGGGCAATTGCATTTACAATTGTCCTTTTGACGTTGACGGTTAGTGTCTCAAAGCTATTTTTGAGGGCAAAGTTTTTAATAAAATTGGTAGTGATTTCTTTGATGGCATTGAATGTTAATGTTGGCAAAAGAGCAGACACTTTTAAAAATTTCAAAATTTATTTTGATTTTTAGAGAAAAGAAGTTGTTTCATTTTTACAGAGTGTAAGGCAATAAAGGGACAGCAACTACAGCATGTGATCTCTTGGGAACAGCCAATAGGTTTCCGATTCTAGGCTGTGACTACGCTCACTTTGGCTGTATCTAAGATGTAATTTCCGGCAAAACATCTTTCCGGAGGAAGGGCCCACTGTTTACTTTGCGAAATATCTTTTTTTTTTTTACTCTTACAAGAATAAGGATAACAATATCAATTAAATAACGTACAAAGCAATTTGTTCCCAGCCGTTTTTAGAAGAGACTCAGTGTGTTTATCACACACAGTCTACCGAAAGCCTTAAAACCTTGACCTTAACTTTGGTTGGTCATTGACGAAAGAGATTTCTATAAAAAGAAAAGAAACCTACAGAATACGAAAACAATCACCGTATCGTAAAGCGCTATTAAATGCCCTAACTTTTTTTTCCAATATACTTGCTGACCGCCTGTCAAAATTGCTTGTATTAAGAACAGCAACTGTCATAACATTAAGTTATTAGAGCTTTTGTGCTTTCAATTTAAAGATCCCCTTCCCGCCGCAAGCACAGTTTAAGTTAACCAAAAAGAGAAAAGAAAACAAACAAATTCTTCTTTCTTTATATACAGATTTACATCTGTTGCCATTCTTTTACAGTACACCCTGTGAGGAAACTTTTAACTTAATTCACATTCTCGAGATTACACCATTTTGGCCCAAATCCCTTTTATATTCTCCCACATCAATCCCTCAAACTGTTTACAGTAGACATATATGTTTATTTTTATTGGTACCTCTATTACTTTTCAGCGCATTATTTTCGTATTTCTTGTCATCCTCATATCATCAAGCCAAAGCATACCTCTATTTCCTTGTATACTACACCCTTATCCACAAAGTATGCTCTATGTGTCGTATTCATTTGCCCTCTCGTGTTATGCTTCTCATGTTATACTTCATCTCGTATTCACCTTCTACTTTCTTTTCGTGGATTTGCTGTATTTTGATCGCACTAATACTTTCTGACCTTGTCTCTCTTGCTCTCCTTTGTCTGATTACACCTATTGTACCTCGTGTTGCAAATAAATACCTCGTAAAAGGAAGACCAGCCTTCAAGGAAATTTCGTCATTATCTTCATTGTCTACAGACAGCCTATAGCAATTGCCTATAATTCCAAATTGTCGTTTGGCGATCCTTTCCCAAAGATCATGGTATCTATCATGAAAATTTATTGGTCATCCGTTGCAGTTATAAGTTTCCTGATCTCAAGTTTCAGTTGCTGGTTTTATTATCCCGGCTTTAATCCACTAGTCTAAACCAGCAGGCCAAACATTTATCAAAATGAAGGTCAAATACCTGATAAACAGTACAAGATGATTTAAACTATGGGAAGCTAAAAACGAAATTAGAACAAAAATAAAAGCGAACCCCCATGCCTGTATAATTACCTGTTTAACCTGGTTTTAAAGGTGGTATAAAAATGGAAAGCTTCCTACACTTTTTCTTGCGAGATTGTGGGGAAAGAAAAAAAAAAAGAGGTGCGGTTTTTTTTTCAACTGTTGAAAAACCTTTGTTATACCCAGAAATGTCTAGAGCAGAAAGACTCTGTCGCGTTAAAACACCTGGCTGTCTATCATAGTAACGAAAACTGCAAACGCACACTAATGCTGTTCGTAAAAAGATCAGGTACGCTCTCTTGGAATGATGGTCATTCCTTAGCCATTTTTTGCGCGGTGTACAAAAATAGAAGGAAACGCAACGTTCAATTTTTAGCCTTATGCTGTGGCCGATATGCTGTGGCCGATAAATACGCCTGTACAACTTGATGACGTGAAATGACTCCAGCTACACCTCAGGTCGTACATTCCACCTTTTCAGTATTTCGAGAAATTTCTAGGTGCTTATTTTTATTCTTTCACCAAGCAGACATTCAACAAGCGTAAATCCAACAAAAGGCAAAACCAACAAGGGAAATTAAACGTTCCAATACCTTTTCCGTTTTCATAGATAACGACTTTCACCATTATGTATTAAATCGACACAAGTTTTCTCTCTCTTTTGTATTGAACCACCCCATTACGCCTGATGGACAGTGCTTAAAAGACAGAGACAGCACACACAAACAATAAATGAACAGCTACGGAATAATAACGTATTGAAAGCAAAGAAAGATTTGAGGGGGTTCAATCTGGATGAAGTTCCTGCAAAACCTTTGGTCGTAGCACCTCTATGACATATTTATACTTAAATTACGTGTAATCAACAGGCACATACACACTAGTAGGTTGCCAAGATGTAAATCGTTTGAGGTGAGTTATTTTTTGTGTTAAATGGGATTGGGATACTTATTCTTTTATAAAGCCGTCTTAATCAAAATTCCGTCCCAATCCTTGACATAATCCCAACAAGACAGTTATCCATACATCGATTTATCACTAAATCATGCATATGGCTGAAGTAGAAGACTGGACATTCATATATAAACACTCGTAGATGGCATAAATTTTATTTCATCATGTTATCTGGAAGTTGATTTATCTCTATAAAGATCAATTGGTGATTAGAACATTTAATCAACCGAGGAATTCCGTATTAATTTGCCGTGATTAAAAACAATAACAATGGATCGCTTTTAATTTTGTGGATGGGGGAAATGTAAAACATACACGGGTATTTGGCGGTAAAGTATATGAGAATGGTAAATTACACAACATGAAGGAGCTACAAGGATTTTAATAGTCCAAACTATCTGGTGTAAGCTAGTTTATGCATCACAAAAAAAAAAGCAAAAATCATACGTGACGAGGTTTGAAGTTCATTTTATTTGACGCATGTATTCGTCACCGAATACAGAGTTTGTGTGTATAATTGCCTGAAAAAAAGAGAGTGTCGTTACCTTTACATCGTCTACCATGTTCTTTGTACAACAAGTTTTTTTTTCTACGGTATGATCAGTCTGATAATCAAAAGAGAATAACAGGTTCTTCAAAGTGTTCTTGCCCTTCACGTCTTTGAATTATTTCATCAGTTACATCAAATGCAGTTGAATTGGGTTTCTTTTTTATATATATATAACCTAAACAGCAAACAATCGAACCTTATTTATGTTTAGGTATAGTGCTTCTCTATGATTCATGGCTGTCGCTAAGTTTAAACTTGATCAATTGCTTTCCAGTGTGATCACCATGAGAACTTGATGGTTGATAGCTTCAAAGAAAAAACCGGGTGCATTTTTTTTCTCAACCTGTGAGTAGTCTTGAGAATTCAGCTACTCAATTTTTTGATGCGATACCAAATATAAATTTCTTATATGCTACCTTTCGGATTGTGTCAGTCATTCACAATTGAGACAAGTCATTTAAAACTATTTTCTCAAACTCAAGCAGCCCCCTCCCAAAGTTTTGTTCTTTGGGTTTTGTATTAGATAGTCAGACGCGAGCTTTTTTTGTTTCCTTTAATGCTCAAAAGAATATTTTCTCTACTGAGCTCTTAAACGTTATTCTCGATAGGTAGAGTATGAAATCCCCCCCCCCATTTTTGACGGTTCTTACTTTAATATAATAAGCGCAATTGCATTTACAATTGTCCTTTTGACGTTGATGATTAGTGTCTCAAAGTTGTTTTCGAGAGTAAAGTTTTTAATAAAATTGGTAGTTATTTTTTTGGTGGCTTTGGGTGTTGATGTTGGCAAAAGAGCAGACACTTTCAAAAGTTTTAATATTTATTTTGATTTCTAGAGAAAAGAGTTTGTTTTATTTTTACAGCCACTACAGCATGTGATCTCTTAGGAACAGCCAAAAGGTTTCCGAACCTAGGCTGTGACTACGTTCATTTTGGCTGTATCTAAGATGTAACTACCGGCACAACATCTCTCCGGAGGGAGGGCATAAAATAAGCCCACTGTTTACTTGGCGAAACACCCCCTTTTTTTTTTACTCTTACTACATTAAGGATAACCACATCAGTTATAATGACGTTTTAAGCACTTTTTTTCACAGCCGTTTTTAGAAGACATGTCGTGTGCCTATCATAAAAAGTCTACAGAAAGCTTCAAACCCTTGGTCATTCACGAAAGAGAATTTTATAAAAAGAAAAAAAACCTACAGAATACGAAAACACCCTGCCTTTTTTTTTACCAATATGCTTGCTGATCTCCTGTCAAAATTGCATGTATTAAGAACAGCAACTATCATAACTTGGATTCAGTTATTAGAGCTTTTGTGCTTTTAGTTGAAAGATCCCCCCGCCTCAAGCACAGTTTAAGTTAACCAAACAGAGAAAAAAAAACAAATTCTTCGTTCTTTATGTACCGATTTACATCTGTTATCATTTTTTTATAGTTCACCCTGTGAAGAAACTTTTAACATAATTCACACTCTCGAGATTAAACCATTTTCACCCACACCCCTTTTATATTCTCCTGCATCAATCCGTCAAACATTTTACAGTTGCCATATATCTTTGCTTTTATTGGTACCTCTTTTACTTTTTCAGCGCCTTATTTTCTTATTTCTTGTCATCCCCATATCATCAAGCCGAAACATACCTCTATTTCCTTGTATTTTACACCTTTATCCACAAAGTATGCTTTATGCGTTGTAATCATCTCCCATCTCGCGTGATACTTCTCATGTTATGCCTGATCTCGTGTCCACCTTCTGTTTTTTTTCGTCGATTTGCTGTATTTTCGATCACACCAATACTTTCTGATCTTGTCTCTCTGGCTCTCGTTTGTCCGATTACACCTATTGTACTTCTTGTTGCAAATAAAGACCTCTTAAAGTGAAGTTCAGCATTCAATTCTTTCATAGTCCTCAATGAAATTTCATCTTCATCTTCATCGTCTATAGACAGCCCACAGCAATTGCTTATAATTCCAAATTGTCGCTTGGCGATCCTTTCCCAAAGGTGATAATAACTATCATGAGAATTTGTGGACCATCTGTTGCTGGTTTTATTATTACGGTGTTAATCCACTAGTCTGATCAACAGGCTAAACATAAAGTGAAGTGAAGGCCAAATACATGATAAACGTCACAAGATGTTTCAAACTTTGGGAAGCTAAAAACGAAATTAGAAAAAAAAAAATAGTGAGCCCCCATGCTTGTATAATTACCTGTTTAACCTAGTTTCAAAGGTGGCATGACATTGGAAAGCTTGCTACACTTTTTCTTGCGAGATTGTAGGAGAAGGTGGGGAAAGAAAAAAAAAATAAAAGAGGTGCGTTTTTTTTTTTATTTTTTTTTTTATTTATTTTTTGTTAGCGCTTGAATAGTCAAGTCACAACAGGACATCCACCAGGCAGTCTTCAAATAATTTTACGAGCTTTTGAAAAACCTCTTTTATACCCAGAAATGGCTAAAGCAGAAGGACTTTGTTGTGTCAAGACACTTGACTGTCTATCATAGAAATGAAAACTGCAAACGTGCACTAATGATGTTCGTAAAAAGATCTAGCACGCTCTCTTTGGATGGTGGCCATTCCTTAGCCATTTTTTTGCGCGGTATACAAAAATAGAAGGGAATGCAGCGTTCAATCACTAACCCATGGCACTCCTGATGCTGTGGCCGATAAATACGCTTCTCCGACTTTATGACGTGAAACTTGCTTCAGCTACAACTGCACCTCAGTTGGTATATTCTACCTTTTCAGTATTTGGAGAAAGTTCTAGGTGCTCATTTTTAAACATTCACCAAGAAGATATTCAGCAAGCGTAAATTCAACAAAGGATAAGACCGACAAAGGAAAGAAAATGCACCAATACCTTTTCCGTTCCCATGGATAACGACATTTATCAATTAGTATGTGTTAAATCGACGTAATTTGTTCCTCTCCTTTGTATTTATCCACCCCACTACGCATGATGGATAATGCTTAAAGAACATATTATCGACACTGGATGGACAGCTACACAACAACAACATAAGCAAAGCAAAGAAAGATTTGAAATTCCTGCAAAACTTTGGTCGTAGCACCTCTATGACATATTTAAACTTGAATTATGTATGATCAACAAGCATATACACACTAGTAGGTTGTCAAGATATAAATCATTCGAGGTGAGTTATTCTTTGTGTTAAATGAGATTGTGATACTTACTCTTTTATAAAGCCCTCCTAATTAAAGATCGATCTCAATCCTGGATGTAAAGCCTATAACATGAGAGCTACCCATACATCAATTTATTACTAAATCATGCATATGGCTGAAGCAGAAGACTAGACTTTTATATATACACTCGTGGAAGATGGCATGAATTTATTTTATCATGTTATCTGGAAGTTTATTTATCTCTTTAAAGATCACTTGGCGATTATGACCGATGGATTCCGCATTAATTTACCGTGATGTAAGAACAATAAAAATGGATCGCTTTTAATTTAGTGGATGGAGGGAATGGAAAACATAAACGGGAATTTGGTGGTAAAGTAGTATATGAGAATAGTAAATTACACGCCACAAAGGAGCAACAGGGATGTTTATAGTCAAACTATCCGGTGTAAGCCAATTTGTGTATCACAAAAAAAAAAAGCAAAAATCATACGTGACGATGTTAGGAATTCATTTCATTTGACACATGTATTTATCACCGAATACAGAGTTTGTGTGTATAACTACTGGGGGGAAAGAGAGTGTCGTTGCCTTTACATCGTCTACCATGTTCTTTGTTAATCATGCTTTTTTTTTTTTTTTTTTTTTTTTTTTCTTATGGTATTATTAGTCTGATTATCAAGGGAAAGAAACAGGGTCAAGTCTTCTTGTCCTTTACGTCCTTGATGATTGTATCAGCTACATCAGATACAGTCGAGTCGGGGGGGGGGGGGTTTAAAAGCTTCAATAGCAAACAATCAAACCTTGTTTATATTTAAGTATTGTGCTTCTCTATAATCCATGGCTGTCGCTAGGCCTAACCTTAATCGGTTGCTTTTCAGTGTGGTCGCCATGAGAACCTGATGGTTGACTGCTTCATCAAAGAAAAAACCGGGTGCATTCTTTTTTCTCAACCCGTAACTAGTCTTCAGAATTCAGCTACTGAGAAAAAAAAAAAAAAAAAAAAAAAAAAGGAACGATTAATCTTTTGATGTGATACATTACAGGTATATGAAACTTTCTTTTCGAACGATTTCTTTTTCTTTCTTTTTTTTCTTTTTTTTTATTAATGTCGGTAGGATTAAGAATATAAACAGCAATCTTGACCAGCAATCTATTAACAACTGGGATAATACTACCTTTGAAGTGTTCTTGGTCTGTGAGACTTGTCAGGTTTGTCGTATTTGGGTACGATTCACTTAAGAATAATTAAGCAAGTCGTTTAAATAAATAAACTATTAAATTAAAACAACCTTTGATGTTTCATATCAGCATACGCTTGTATACTACTATACAACTTGCTCCTACTACGAGTAAATACTTCTATATTAAAGATTACGTGATTGGCCTAAATATGATATACGAATGACACTTGGATACACAACGCTATATCAATGAGTCACGATATCACCAATCGAGAAGAGAATCTTCTCAGATTAAATCACAAATTATAAGAAAGAGAAACTTAATATTAATAGTTCTTTCAATGGATTAGGTACCCAGAGAGAGAATAGATCAGCTGTTAATATAAATAGTTCTTTTACTTATATATTGATATAATTATACTGCTGATAAAGAGTATAAAGAGATAGTGTATGAATTAATGGATACCTGCTTTCTACAACCAAATATACAAATCTCAATAAGACATTATATATTTTGGATCGTATTTTATTCATTACAGAGATAATAAATAAATGATCAACTATAACTATTATGTTCTACTGCCAAGTACACTTGACAAACAAGTATGTATCTTTTACAGTAGCCGTTGCATGATCTGATAAATAGGTGTCCCGTAACACCAAAGATTTATTAGAATACTCATGCTCCCGATCAACTGAACTGAGACAACGTTTACTGGAAACAATTCCAACGAGTAGTATTCATTTAACCCAAGGCGGGAAACAAAGTATAGATCTATTCCAAGACCAGAAAGGTTGACTCATCATTAAAACTCAGGAGAGTTGTGCAATATAAAAAGGATCAATTTGTGGTGACCTAGCAAGGCTATAGCCATATCAGAGCTAACAAAGGTTTATCCATGCTGATACCATTTGTGATATAAGCTTAACAATAAATGTCATAGTAAGAACTATAAGGATATTACATCACAAGTCTAATGTAATACGTCTGGGAATTACTTAGAATTTAGTTTAAAGCAAAGAGAGTTAAGAAGACTTAACATTTATAAGAACAAGACTAAATTAGTGACTATGTAATAATCGTATACATTTTTGGTTAATCAATGATAACTTCAAGATAGCACTAGAGATATGAACACAGCAGACAGTCTTTTATATAAATACTCGTATATTTCATTTTTTAATAAAGGACAATCTTATAAACAGTCTCAAACTACTCCTATAGTCTTTTTATAATTTTACTTTACCTTAAAACACAACACAATTATTTCATAGCAGCAGAGTTCTTTTAGTCTTTTTTACCTCGAATAAAGATACACTTTTATCTCATTACTTTTCAATTGTATCAATTTTTTCAAATACCACAGTGCTCATCAATGGTTTGATATTTCTTTAATAGCTCATATGTTGCAAAATACAGCTTTCATCACAAACAAGCTAGTATCTAGGATAAGGCATATATAAGTCCATATTTGATAATCAAAATGATGTAGCAACTTGGGAGGCTAAAGCGAGTACGTTAAAAAAAATGTTAACGTTGACGTCAAAGACATTTTTTTTTCTTTGGTAACTATCTATTTGTATCATTTCTACCATGTCTTTTTCTTCGAGTCTTTTTTTTTATTATATTAAGTCAAAATATGTACCAAATATAAAAACCACAAAAAAAATCAATCTTTCTGGATGGTAGCAGGTACAAAAACAAACTTTTTCAAGGAAGACGTTGCATACTTCTTAAAATTTAAAATAACTTCCGGGATTTCATAATTGTCTTTTATTTATTTTTTTCTCTCCCGAAGGATACAGCTTGATAAACCTACCTATTGCTTTATCAAACTTACCATCGAATAAGTTGCACTTGACTTTCCTTTCTGCCAGCGAGTCATCAGAAATGATACTCTCTTCAATAATATTATCCTAATCACTACTTATCCTATCGTTACTGTTTGACAAACGTGAATGCTCGCTTCAAGGTGAAATACAATTTTCTTAATCTTGCCCGAAAGAAAAAGTGCTGACACAATATTCTGGCATCGTTTCTAATATAGGTACCATAAAATAAGATGGTATACATTTTTTTGCTTTCAAAGGAAGAAAAATAAAACGGCTACAAACAAGAACATGTTATTATATCTCTTAATTATTTGTTTGGGGAATCGTGTCGTGTTTTTTTTCTTTCTTTTTCTTTTTACCTTATTATCAGTCTGATTAACAAGAAATAAAAACAGGGTGATTGAAGTATTCTTGTCCTTTACTTTCTTGCTCGTAGATTTAGATACAAGTGCAATCCAATCGGCTTTCTTTTTTCTTCTTTTTTTTATAACCACAACAGCAGATAAACGAACCTTGATTATATTAAATACGCTAGTCTATAATCCATGGCTGTCACTAGACTTAATCTTGATGGATAGACTTTCAGTCTGGTCACAATGAGAACTTGATGGTCAATTGCTCCAGCATAAGGTGAACAGGGTATAATCTTCTTTTTTGACATATGAGTATTTTTGATGTTCCAGTATTCGTAGAGCTTGAGACAAGTTGAGAAGCACAAATCATATTTAGTTATTTAACAATCGACTACTACTTTCTTTTGAAGGTAATTGGGCATTTTCCCAGAAATATAATCTTCTGTTATAACAATGTTTTGACCTGACGTTGTGTGTTGTTAGTGTATAGGGTTTAATTAAAAAAAAAAAAAAGAGAGAAAAAAAGATCCGACCACACTCAAGGTTAATCATCCTTCCCGGTGGCATTTTACTAATCTGATACGATACACTTTTTTTAATATCACAAGAGCTTAAACGTACTTGTAACTGAATAATAGATAATGCATATAAATAAAAATATACGCATTTAAAACTTAGTGTATAAGTGTTCATGTTAGGTTGTAAATGAAATGTATAAACCTCTTTCTTAAACAGTATAATTTGCATCTAAGTTATTAATGTACGCACCATTGCTTGTTGCAGAAAATCTATCGCCGATTAGATAGCCCATTTTAAATTTTATTTTGAAGATGGTTGTATAGTTTTGTTTTGTCTCGGGCGTTAAAGTTATATCGAAATCTCCAGCAAGAATTATTCGATTGGTTACATTTAAACAAGATCCTAATGCAATCAAGCATCATAGTTATTATATCCTGGTGATATTGA